CCTTTGAGTATGTGGACAATGGACCGAGAAGAGTCCCAATGTGATCTACGGGGATGCATGATAATTCTGTATCCATTAAAAAAGTCAATTCTAATTTTGCATCTGTGTGTATACATCAGCAAACTGGGGGCTTGGGACAATCGCTGCACTAGATGTCGATGTGCTAATGAGAGTGTTCCCAGCCACCCACACGTCAAAGGAATCTGGGGCTTGAATCCTGGCCACCCGTATGTAAACAAAGCAAGCTACAGGCATAACCCAGGTCTGTACGTTGCCCTGAGATCCTGTGATATAGGATGGGCTGTAAATGAACAAAATAATCCTGGAAGCGGGAGAAGCTTCTGCTGTTATGACACTTAGATGTGTACGTTGAGTCACGAATTTCCCTCTTCCAGTCAAAACCATTTATTTGTGCTTTCGAATCCCGAAAATTCTCCCACATTCATTGAAGTACTTTACAAAAGAGAGAGATTTTTCTCATAGGACCAGAACATGATTTGTGCTCTGTCTCTGATCTTTCTAGGTTCTTCTGCAGTCTTTTATTGGTGCCCATCTTGGGAGTCATTGGGGGGGGGAATGAAGCAAAATAATTATAACAAGACGTTACCAAGGCTGCTCCTCCATTTTAGAGAGCAAAGGAAGGCAGCAAAGCTAGTTTTCAAAGTGGACGACTCCTGTTGTTGATCCTGTGGGCTTTCATGAGATTTACGGCTGCCTCAAATAAATGAAAGTGCTTTGATAATATTGGCTTCAATCTTAGCAGCATACGCAACAGGTTAGATATATCTCTAGGCTTTTTATGCACGCCGGTTGTGCTGCATAGTTTTGCTGTCCTTCCCCCTCCCGAGAAGACATTTATGGAGCCTGAGGTACAAAATCCCAATATTACTCACCTAAATGATAAAATTTCTCATAACACACCAAGCAATGAAGGAGGCAGAAGTGAACAGAAATCAGTGTAAGGGACAAAGGAGAATGGCACGCCATAAGCAAAAGTTTTTATTTGATGTCACGTGGTAGATCACCCGTTTTTCATCATTCTTCTTCTTCCTTCATCTATCCATTGTCTCTTTCTCTCCTCTGCCCTTCTTTTCAAAGTTTTCTGATTACTGCCTCGCTTAACGATGTCAATTCCCCAAATCAGCAGCGAACGGGTGTGTCCAGGGTGGTTTGGTGGCACTTGTTTCTAAATGCTCGGTGCAAATCACGTGCATTTTCATTTTTCCAAAATTTGCAGCACGAAGAACAGAAGGAAATAAAAGCATGTGAGTCAAGAGGGATGTTGTGTGGTTTGTTAATGTTGTAGACATTGTCCGAAGATGAGAATCTTGCCTCTGATGCTAGAACAGCTCTTTCAGTGTCTAGGGATTCCTAATTCCAGAATACGAGGTTGCTAGTCTCACAATTCTTTCACTGTATTTTTTTATTTGTTTTATTTAAAGGCCACCTTTGTGCTCCTAAAGGGCAGTTCATAATATTAGAAGAATAGAAGTAAAAACATAGTTGAACATTCAGAAAAAAATTAAACTGCACACTAATTAAAATACAATTAAATAATTAAAAGCAAGTAAATATTAAAAATTATCTTAACAAAAGCATTCAGGGACTCCCTCATGATTGCTAAAAGCTTGCCTGAAAAGATGGATTTGTACAGTTTTGTACAGTACATTGTCCTGTTGTTCAAGGGTTTGCTAGAGTGAACGAAGGAACCAGGTCATGGCTGCGTCCAGAATGCTTGGAACATTTTACTTTTTTGGACTACAACACCCACAGTCCAGTGCCCAAATATACTACTTGAAGTCATTGAACAAATTAGATGATCATGAACTTGGTCATTATGCGTGGCCTCCCCTAAAGCCTTCACCTGTCTTCTCCACCCGGCCAAGAAGGGGTCGATCATTTACATCAGGAACTCTTGCTAGAACAGCCTTGTCTTTTCTTGTGTTCAACTGTCTTCTTGCAGCCCTCTCTTTGCCAACAGAATCCAGAAGAAACGCTGCATTTCCCCACCCCCTTCCTTCTCCTGACACATTTCTAGCCAATTTGGAGAAAAATCATCTTGATAGCATGGGAAAGAACAGCGCTGTTTTCTCCTAATGGGAGAGGCACCGAGATTCCTCACTTTGCAGGACTGTAGGAAAGTGCTTTTTTGAAGACCCATTTTTACAGATGTTTATCATTTTGGCAGCAGGCTTTCCAGACTCCTGGAAAACACTCTTAGAAACCGTGAGAAGCCCTACAAAGAGAAGTAAAACAATCCTACAAAGAATCTTGTTTCAGCTTCTAAACAAAATCCTGTCCCTCCTCTCTCTCTCTCTCTCCCCCCCCTCTCTCTCTCACACACACACTCTCTCACACACACAAACCATGCAGGAAGATGATAATTGGAAAAAGATAATTTTTAAAAAATCATTTGCTAACACCAACCATTCATAAAAGGGCTGAACCTGCTGAACGTTATAGGTCCAGCAGGTATTCTAGTAATATTATAGAAGAACATATTTGCAAAATTCAGGGTTTTAGAAAGCAGAGGCCAATAAACTGGGAACAAACAAAATGGAATCTGGGATTATTTAGATTTTGGATTGACTCAGATTTCCTTTCTTCCACAAGTCTATGGAGCACTCAGTCAAATCAAAGTTACCCTCCCATGAACCTCATCTCATCTTCAGATCCTGCCAGTAGCTTTTTGTGGCAGAGCAGGGCTCACAGTGTTTAATGACATTGGTATTGTCTGTGCTGAGGTAGTGACCCTGACTTAAGGGAACTAAAATGTCGCTTGTGTTGTACTTTTACAAAACAATACGGAAACACCCTGCCAAAAGGGGAAGGCTCTTTTGTGATAGTTTCAACAAAAGAAGAGAGGAGCAAGAAGAATTTCATGCCCCAGATTGGTTACAATTGCATGAATCCCATACACACACCTGAGTAAAGCAGGGTGGTTTGTGGGGGTGTGCGGATTGTGTACACCTCTGTATCCAAAGGCAAAGAGGGGGGCTTTCAGGAGAAACATCTTGAGAAAAACAGTCACTGCCACCACCTCCCTGGCACCAGCATCTGTTGACTGGGGCCAGTGCCTCATTCTACCTAATGGTAGGGCCAGCCCCTCGGAGGTAAACATGGCACTAATCTCTTCAAGGAGATCACACTTCCTCCTTGCAGCGAAGGTCACTCCTTGGAGATGTTAATCCACATCCGTCTTCACTCTCTTGTTAGAATCTGTCATTGAAGCCTGCATGCTTACCTTCTTTGTAACATAAGACTAATTCCTCCCACCCATTCCAAAGAGGTGAATTCTTTACTGCAACATCAGGAGACAATGTTAATTTCTTGCAAAAAATTCCAGCTTGGGACGGTTTGTGGCTTCTCCCTGTGTTGCGAATATTCGCCTGCTTGGTTAATAAGTTTCACGCGTGCATGAAAGCCCCTTCCCAGATGCCATGGAATGGAGAGGCAATGGGGCCTTGTTCCCTTAATCATCGTGCTTTATGCCACACACTTGGTAGCTGCATTGTTTGTGGTAACCCGCAGTCCGTCACGGCAGAGTGTGTAAGCTTCAGTTACGTTCCCCCCCTCCCCTTTGCCCATCTTGCTATGGCTGAAAAGGATGGCAACAATCCCATTGGCTTAAGTGGGAACAGAAGGATCCCTTCTTGGTTGAAATGCAGTGGGCTTGTTGGTTTGTTTCTTGCAATTTGCCTTTTAAAAACAAAATTCGTCTTCAACAAGACACTCCGAAGCAAGGCACTCTGAAATTTTTGTTTGATACTTTGGTGCCTCAGGCAGAGCAGCACATTCCACCACGCACACCTTGTAGCAATCTTAAAGTCAAAGTTTGCAATCATCATCATTTTAGAATGGCAGAGCTGGAAGGGACCCTATGGATCATCAAGTCCAACCTCTGACTTCGAGGCCCAGTGGGGGGAATCGAACTCCCGACTTCCAGCTCTGCAGACAGAGACCTAAACCCCTGAGCTCTTCAGCCACCTTACCCTTAATATCTGATTTGAATCTGAATGACATGAATGGTTTGGATGGAAATAGCATCAACCTTATGACAAAACCCCATATTTCTTAGAATGGTGATGTCACCATTGATTTCACCATAGTGTTAGCGGCCAATTTTGGGTTTACGGTTTTCTGGCAAGGAATCAGATGAGAATGCATCAGCTGAACCCAAGGTTTGATTTTATTTTGAATAGCAAAGTAACAGAAAAGGTCAGCTGGGACTTCCCTTAATAGCAGAGAAGACCCCGATCATAGAGAGTACATACATTTTATAATGATATAGACAAAGAGCAATAAAAGGCTACAATTCTATTGGTCAATTGTACCCTGACTTTGGTTCCAGTCCAAAGATTGGGTAGTGATGCCAACTATGTTAATCTGTTGGTTATACGGACCTATCCATATTGTGCCCCCATATTCCCTTGACCTGTGCCCAAGATGCGCCTGAAAATCTGGGGGTAAGGGTATCCATTTCTCCTTATCTATTGGTATGTTGATGTGTCTTCTTCCTGGGCCTTCAATGCTGTGAAATGTTATAACCATTATGATTAGCTTCCTCCTACAAGCATTCCCATGATGAGCCATCTGCTACATGAAAAGGTACAAGGGAGAGTTACCTCGTTATTCTGTGTGTGCCATTAATACTTCTAGGTGAGGTGTGAATATCTCTTCTTAGAGCGCCAAATTGAAGCTTGTGTTTTCTCTTGACCTCTCAATTGCTAATTCTAGAATCTAGTTTCATTTCTACTCGGTACCACCAGTGCTCTAAAGAGTGATGACTCCATGGTTCAAGCCAGGGAGGCACCCCTCAATTTTTGTGCAAGATCCTAAAGTATAATTAAGTGTTACAGTAGCTATCCTTTCTGCTTGCATTCGGAGGATCAAGATTGCCCTTTTTGCGATAAGGAACCCAAAGGTAAAATATTTGAAAGAGTCTTGATTGGTTTATGATCGCATTGCCCACCATCTAAATGTGGCGTTGATCTTGGCAGGCAGTAGGTTGTGATCGGCAACTCGGGAGTAACGCCAAGGAAGACAACTGTGGCGTCTGCGCAGGAGATGGTTCAACATGCAGGCTGGTGAGAGGGCAAACCAAGACGCTTCTTTCAGCAGAAAAAAGTAAGTTCCTTGCAAGTAAAATATGTGTTCTAAACCCATGACTTTCTCCCTCCCTCTTTATGTGTGTGAACAGGGCCGTGGGATGGAGTTTCCTTTTAATTTGGTCTTGTCAAGCTACCAGAACTTGTGTTAGATGATTCTGTCATGAAATGCTACCCATTTACAGGACCGCTATGTAAGAATCCAAGGTGCCTACTTTGAGAAAGAAATTCAATTTAGTGTATCAGGAATAGCCATCAGGATAGGTACATCTGCTTTCATATGTGGGAGATAAACATTTTTGATCATTTCACAGAGGCATTTTGGAATAATGGAAAACGTTTACAGATACTTCTGTTGACATTATAGTACAGGAATCCTAGTCAAAGGATCAAAGAAAGAATAGCAAGGGCTGGATAGAATTCAAAGGCCATCTTTTCCAGCAAAAAACAAAACCGAGAGAGAGAAAAGAAATAATTAATCCCAAGGAATTACTTTGCTTACTTCCTCTCGGTCCTTCCTCGCCGTTCTTTCAAATATTGACTCTGTGTGTGGTTGGGGTTTGGGAGGCTTTGAACCCTGCTATCAGGACTTCCGTAATTAGAAGTTTCCCTGGTTGACTTATTGATGCTCCATTCCTTCTCTGCTGAAACCAAGAGCATTCCCAGATTTCTGTGCAAAAATTTTAGGGTGCACTTGGTCATTTATGGCCAATTTTTGTAGATACCTGGAGACCAGTCTTTACTTGCCATGAACTTGACGGATGATCAATTTTGATCTATTCCCAGTCTCTATATACTTTGGTGTTTCTATTGAAATAAAGGGGGGCCTTTATTTCAAAACCAATAAATACAAATGCAAAAATAGGTGATACCTTTATAGACCACTAAACCGCACAATATACGGGGTTTTGTGGATTAAGCACCACTTCATCATGCTAGTACCAATGTGAAGACCTTAAAGTCCATAAGCCTGGTGAAATCCATCTTGTCATGAACTTCTGGACTTTACATCTAGGAGTAACTTTCCCAACAAATTCCACCCTGCCATGGACCTTAGGATCTTCACAATGGTGCTAGTCAGATAAAGTGGTGTTTTTAGTGATCTATAAAGGTACTGTTGTTGTTGCACCCTGCCATGGACCTTAGGATCTTCACAGTTTTAGTGATCTATAAAGGTACTGTCTTTTTTTTGCCTTTGACTTTTCTGTTTCCCAATTAGTTGCAAAAGAAAGAAAGAAAGAAAGAAAAGAAGGAAACTTATTAGAAGACTTGAAAGTTGCAAAAGAAAGAAAGAAAGAAAGAAACTTATTAGAAGACTTGAGTTCTTTGAAGCTGAGTTCAGTACCAAAATAAATAGATCCATCTTTAGCATTTTGTGCAATCTCTTCTGGTTGAGTATCTTTGATTCATCCTGTGGAGCTCAAAGGATAGATGCAGCCATATAGGCTTTGCTGGGTTGGTAGGAAGTCTTTTCAGAGACTAGAAAGAGCACAGCTACCTCTTGATCTAAAGGTAGAGAGTGCTGGGAATTCGATGGGGATGCAAAGAGAGGCAGGGTCGGATTTGTGAGAGAAGCTTGCTAAAGGCGGTGACGTCAGCGGTTCCGCTTGTGGTTCATGAGTAAGCGTGCCGCGATTTTATTGAGACATTGAATCATTGCCAGTCATGGGGACTTCAAACAAGTTGAGAAACAGGCTACTTTATTGAGGGCCCGATCCACCCTGAATCTCTATGCAAAACACCCCAGTTGTGAGTCTCTGTAGGTCTTTTGTGTTCTTTGAATCCAAGCCACCATTGCATGGTTTTCTCATCATCCCACTTCAGTGAGTTCTGTCTTTCTTTTGGTAATGGAATCTTACTTAAATTTTTCATTTTAGTCTTTGGATGTATAGGTGTGACTTCATAATGCATATAAGCATTGCTGCACCCTAAGTTGTATTTTAAACTCTCTTTTTTTGGTCTCATACTTTTTGCAATGCCTAGTTTTAAAAAGCAAACAGTTCCTCCCCCCCCCCTCTTGCTCTTGTAGCATATGGAAGTTGTTTAATAAAATAGTCTCCCAGGCAAAAGAATGATAAAATGCGCTACCTCTTCGTGCTACTACATCACGTGCTTTGTACACAACGTTTTGAACTCTTCAGTGAATCTTGCCAAGGTGAGAAGCATGGCTAAAAGAGAGCCAAACCAAAATAGAGTTTAAAGTTACTTTAAAAAAAAACTACTACAAATCCCAGAAGCCGTCCGTCCAGCAAGGAAACATTTATGTGGGTCATCTTCCAAATTCACCACATCACTCAAGAAACCGCATTCCACGTGTAACCGTACTTCTTCCAAGGAAAATTTATGCAATTCTCAGATAGAACACCCAGGGTCAAAACAATGAACCGGGCAGCTTCCTTGCTGGAAACAAAGCTGGCTTTAATAGGAACATCTGTGTGCTTGTCCCTCTAATAATTTCACAGCTCCAGGAGTTGAAGATTAGCTTGCTTTCGGTCAGGAAGAAACCACGTTGATTTGGGCCACAACATGGAAGATGTCTCTGGGGGATTAAAACATTCCCTTTCAAGTTGTGAATCTACCTAATTGTCTGCTTTGACCATCGGGGAAGAGATTGAGTGGGTTAGTGGGAAGGGACCCACATGAACCATTGGGAGATATTTAATTACAGATTAAGGACATAACTTGGTCTTGGGTAGCGTGCTCTGTTGGTCAAAGGTGGCCTTTTTCAGCAACTGCTGCAACAAAAACAATGGCACGTGTGAGTCTGACAAATTTATTCCAGTGTGCCTTACCCTCCACATCTCCAGAGGTACAGAGCATAACATTTGGGGTGCAGGTTAATATACAATGTAGATAGTAGTAGGAATGGAAAGATCATGGCATATTAGCCTATGGGCGCTCCCAAGGAAACAATGGCATGGTGAACATTTGAGGCATTCCAGGCAATTGTGTGTTGTGTGCTGTCAAATTAGAACCAGCTTATAGTGATTCTGAAAGGGCTTTCAAGGTAAGTGAGATAGTCATGGAGTGGTTCTACCAGTTCATAACTCCTCCAATGAGTTCCCATGGCTGAGCAGGGATTCGAACCCTGTTCCTCCAGCATCCTAGCCTGTCACTTCATCCACCACACCACACTGGGAATCACCACACCTAATCTCTTGGTAATTAGGAGCATGCAAATGAAGGGAGTCTTGGTTCCTGTCTCATCTAGACTGCCACGTGTGCAGTATAGAAACTTGTTACCCCGATATTCTGGAAGAGTGGGGTGCAATCCGTGAAATTTGAAACCAAAATGCTGTGGGCTAAACCGCAGAAGCCTGTGCTGCAGGGTCAGAAGACCAGCAGTCGTAAGATCGAATCCACGCGACGGAGTGAGCGCCCGTCGCTTGTCCCAGCTCCCGCCAACCTAGCGGTTCGAAAACATGCAAATGCAAGTAGATCAATAGGAACCACCTTGGTGGGAAAGTAACAGCGTTCCGTGTCTAAGTCGGACTGGCCATGTGACCACGGAAGATTGTCTTTGGACAAAAAGCTGGCTCTATGGCTTGAAGAGCGGGATGAGCGCCGCCCCCTAGAGTCGGACACGACTGGACAAAAATTGTCAAGGGGAACCTTTACCTTTACCTTTACCCTCAAAAGTACCACCGTCTTTGATTTTGGGTATTTTGCCGTTCCCCTCCTGTTTCATTCTTAGTAGTTTCTCACTTCTTTGACCGGCGTCGCTGTTATAGCTCAGCATGCCCGAACATGCACACGTGTAAGTTCCTTCGCCACTTGACAGTCCCAACAGGAGAGGTATAGGATCGTGAAGGTTTTGCTGGAGTTGTGAGGTTAAACGGGAGGAGAACCCCTGCTTTGAACCTCAGAGGCAAACTGTCAGCTGAACAGACGAATCACCTTTTAAAAAAGCCGAAGCTGCCAGTAAGACATCAGGCCAAGAAAATAAATAAATCTCACTTTCTGGGAAAGGGATCAAACCTTGGAGGGATGATATTCAAAAGAAGGAAGTGTAATAAGTTGTAAAACCTGCCGTGCCCCTGGGAAAATGCGATGCCTCGGGTCTTTCAGACATGGTAGTCCCATCAGCTTCAGTATCAGCTTGGTCTCCTGGAAAGCTTTTAAGGCTGAACTTTGCTATTCTTCCTTTTTGCCTTTTGCCCTTGTTTTATGGCCTGGGAGAACATAATAATCAGGGGGGAAAAAAACCCTGTTCTCGATGCTGACAAGAACACAGCAGAGGCTTCCAGGGTAATATGGATTTCATTTTAAGGCATCCATACAGGTCAGAAGGGAAGTGTGTAGGGGGAGAGTTTAGCATAATGATTGCCAGGAAATATGGGGCTTCATTCACCTCCCTCCGTGTGCTCCCTGCGCTATTCCAGCGTCCAAAACTAGATAGGCAATCCAGCCTTAGATCTGCTTCAAATCTTCCAAGAAAGAGCGATGGCTGATTTCACATCAGATATATTATGGGCTTTGCAATCTAGGGGTTCTTTGCAAAGACACCAGCCTTTCAATGTGTTTGAGCCGTTTTTGGTGAGCTTCTTGTTCGCTAGTCTAATGCCACCTTCTTTCTTGCCATAAAGCCTTCTAGTTTCAAAATAACAATGACGATAAAGAAGGGGAGGAAGAGGAAAAAGAAGAAAACCCATTGGTTTGTTCCTTTTATGTCACAAAGGGTGTATGGATCTCTTTTCTGCCCTGTCCCAAAGCATCCCTGCGAGGAAGGAAAAGCAGGGAAAGAGTGACCGGCCAGAGTTTTCAAAGCTCTTTGGGGACTTCCTGTGCCCCATGCTGACCTCTGCTCCATCCTGGCTTTCGGGCGCTGCTTTCTTGCTGGCCATCCATCAAGCTTCTTTCCAGCACCCTTCCTAGGAACCTGGCAGGGCAGTGTGTATTCCGTCCCCTTCAAACCATCCCACTGTTTGAAACCAAAGAAACCCAGCTGGAATAAATTAAGCCAGCTATGCTGGTGTCATTCCTCCCCGACTCTGTGGTCCCACCTCGAGCCTTTTCTTCTTGAACGTTGAAGGTTTGGCTTTGGAAAAGAGTACAGCACAATCCGCGGTATTTCGTTCTGTTGAAAGATGTGGCACCAGACAACGGTGGATTTTTATCTCTCTAATGACCTTAAGTCCTCTTTTATTTCCTGAGATCTGTCTTGCTGCTTTTAGAACTTATTGCCTTTATCTTCCCCCACCCGCCCAACCCCCTGCCCCCTTTGGAATGCACTCGTGTTTAACTCTTTGGGAGTATACAGTAGGCATGGGGAAAAATATGAATCAGTGCTTATGAATCGTGACATATTTTTGTCCCGTGAGAGACCTTCACGGATGTGCCTCATTCTGAGCTGAAGAACATTTGGTATTCAACGGCTCCTCCAGGGCCCCCCGTATTCCCTACAAAGGCAGATTAGAGGGTACAAGCGGGGAAAGGTGATAATAAGCCAAAAGAGGCACATATATCATTTTCTTGTGGTCATTCTAAATCCTTTCTAGTTCCCCCTCTATTCTGTGCCGGTTAGACCTCTTCTGGACACCACCATTTAAGAAGGATGCCAACAAATGGGTGGAAATTCAGAGGAGGGCAACAAGGAGGATCAGGGGACTGGAAAGCAAGCCCTAGGAGGAAAGGCGGAGGAAAGCAAGCCCTAGGAGGAAAGACAGAAAGAATTGGGTATGATTAGCCTTAAGACTTGAGGGGAGATAGGAGAGCCCCTTTCAAAGACCTGAAAGGCTGTCATTCAGAGGAGGGGCAGGATCTGTCCTTGATTGTCCAAGAATGTAGGACACATAATAATGGGCTCAAACTATAGGCAACTAGATTTAGGCTTAATATCGGGGAAAACGTATGAACTGTTAGAGCAGTACGACAACAGAACCCATGATCTCAGAAGGTGGTAAGCGCTCCGATACTGGAGACATTCAGCAGAGAATTAGACAACCCTCTGTCAGATCCACTTTGGTACGGATTCCTGCACTAAGCAAGGGGTTGGAGTCAGTGGCTTTCTTAGGCCCCTTCCAACTCCATGATTCTATGATTCTATGAGCAATAGTAACAATACACAAGTGCGGACTCCATAAATGGAGTTCCAGAATTGACCGTGTTGTGAGAATTCTAAGAGTTATAGGAAAAATTTAAAAGTTTCCCCATATCTATTGTATTGATGAATGGAGGGTTTAAATAAATAAATAAATAAATAAAGGAATGTGAATACAGATATGACCAGTGGACTGTAGCCAGCATCCTCCTCTTTTTAGTGAAGAAAGAGAAGGAGGAGGTTTTAGAAAACGGACAGCGTACCACCCAGAATCACCCACTACCCCCTGTGAGGTTGACCACATGCAAACGAAATATATATAAAACTCTAAAAATGCAAGGGTTAGTTGTAACTGGTTCCCTCTAAAAATGTCACACAAGTTCAGCATGCACTTACTTTCTTCCCCTAAAGAAAGAAACATACTTCCACAATCCCAAATGGAGGTAGGTCTTACTGATTTAATAGAATCGCGTGGATTAACAGTCCCCCAACAACCGTGTTTTCTAAGAATATGGAGGGTTTTGTTTCAGCAAGTGTATGGATCACACACTTGACGATTAGAGGCCTTTTAAATCTACAATCTTGGTGGCAGATTGCAGTTCATGCTGAGTCCCATTTGTGCTTATTAATATCCCTGCATGAGGAACAGCCGAACTGCTGCTTATGATCAGCCCTCAGAGCTTCCCTAAGAACCAAAGGTATTGCACTGATGTTAGGATGGCCACCTCGATGCTAACAAAGAGAGAAGAAATGATACATTCTGCTCATTTTTTAAGACTCCAGACTCACTGCCAATTTGGTTCTGGGCAGAGGTTAATTGGCATTAACATGCAAACTAGCCTGTACCCTTGGCCCAGCCCAGTCGTAATCACATGAAACATCTTCTCAGTGAGACCCCCAGCAAGGTGATCTGTCATCATGTCGGAGTTGGTGACGGTAATAAGAGGTTAGTATAACCCTCACCTTGAAATTCTTTCCCAACACAGATTTGACTTTCTTGGAAAATTTTAGGTGGGCTTTAAAAGGGTTTTAACGGTGTGTTGGCTTCACAGGTGGCTGTTTTTTGTTTTTATTCTTTCATACTCTTATTTCATTGTTTGCGTTGTATAACAGATTTCGTTTTTATGGCGGTGAACTGCCTTGGAGGCCAAGATGGCATATTTAAACAGGTTGGGTTTCTAAGCCTTGCTACTTAATGGACACAATTAGCATCTATAGCAAACCTGCAAGTATTTGTGGGTCTTATTCCTAATTTCCATTTCTCCAGTCTGCAGCGGTTTAGAGTTTAGTGTTAAGCAGCTGGTTCGTTTCCTGCAAATCTTACCTCTTATTAAAAGCCGTGACCTCCAGGAGGAAATGAGCCGTGGGCAGAATCCCATACTTCCATCGTTGCCCACGGAAATTCTGCGTCACCCAGCCTTCTAAACCTGTTCAACCATTACAAAATTAAACAGGACAACAAGATGTAAATCGAATATGTAATGTGTACTGTGCTAGTTAATGGAAAATAATTATCCAATCGCTGGAAGGATTTACAAGTCCATATGTACCTTATAAGAGCAGTATAATTCAGAAAGCAGACCTTGGGTAATGCACTTAAAAACCATATATATGTATGTGTTCTTTTTTGGGGGGTAAGGTTTAATTGTGAAATACGATGATTCCCTTGTATAATATAATTTCTGAATTGGTACATTTAATTTTCCTAGGGGAGGAAGCTGTGATTGCAGTTCCGCACGGGAGTCGCAGCGCACGAATTACGGTGAAAGGGCCAGCGCACCTCGGTAGGAGCACCTTTTTGCGTTATTAATCGTGGGAGTGCATCGAAAACACAGAATAATTTCAACTTTTTTGAGCTTAGGTATACCTGAAGAACTGGCTCTGTTGTGTATGATTATTAATGCAAAACATATGCTCCGTTTTTATGAACTGAACTGTAACAAGAGATGCCCGCTCTCTGAAAACAGTAGCTTCTTCTCCGCTTCTTCTTCCTTTGGGATACGGCATGTCGAAGCAGTACGTTAAGCGGGACTCAGCATGTGGAACTGGGTGCCCCAAAAATGTGTATATGAAATTTCATACAAGTGTGTGCGTGCATGTAAGAGTTGCACATTCCAGGGCTTGGGAACAGAGAATAACCAGCGATGAGCAGAACCCTATTGCTAACATTCGCTGGTTTAAATAATTATCATAAACATTCTTTGACTTGCATTTCTGCAGGGGGTTGGACTTGATGACCTTACAGGCCCCTTCCAACTTTACTGTTCTGTGATTCTGTGAACTGTAGAGCTGGAAAGAACCCTTCAGAACGTGGAGACAAGGAGGCTCAGTGGGGGTATCAAACTCCCTACCTCTGGCTCTGCAGCCAGAGACCTCAAACCCTGAGCGCTCCAGCAGTTCATCCAGTGGCATAAATCAGCAGTGATAACTTCCTGCTAGGCAAGATGTCACTTCTTTGTCGCTTACCAGTGCCCTGACTTAGCACACGACAGAAAATGCAATCCTGGATGTCTTGACGAGCTGCAAATATGCAGCTGGGATTTCTCTCACTCAATTTAGGCCAAAATATGTAAGTAACAGGATTCTGGCCAACCAATCACAAAAATCCAATAAATAAATACAATGCAGTTTTGACTCCCTAGTTTTTGGAGGAGGGCAAGATATAAATCCAATAATTGCTTGGAATTAATTTATTTTCTGCAGGGGTATTAAAAATGCTACATTGCATTTGTCAGTTTAAGAACTATAGCTGCATTCCTTTTGCAGTATAGCTATGATTAATTACTTGTATCATTACGAGGGCATGGAAGAGGATTATCACATGATTTAGGTGCTGGTTTATCCTATACCTAGTGCTGATGTATTAAGTTTTTTTAAAAAGTAACTAAAGATAACTATTTTAGTTACACTGCAGGAACAAAAAAAATTCTAAACAAAGAAGGCTCAGTTGGACTGTAGTATCCACTGGGGAATCTGTTCAAAGCCCCTCCCGGTGGACACCAAAAAATATGGAATTATCGAATTCCATACATTGCATGGACTCTGCTTCCCTCTAGTGGCCAGTTCTATTAACTACACCCAAGAAATTCATATTTCTGGGGGGGGGAGGGAGTTATTAAGTATTTTCAGGCAGTGGATAAGTGAATCAGGAGATACCAATCCCAAAAAAATAGGATTTTCTACTGTACAACAGTTCTCAATATTTTGATGTTTTATAATGAAATATGTTACTACTTATTTTTTAAAGAGCAGCTTTCCAAACTTTGGGTGCATATGATAAAATTTATTATTCCTTTGACATTTTGTACTTTTTTAATAGTTAAGATTGAACTGTTTGCATACAAACCTAGAGAGTTTACACCTTCTTGTCCTAAAGATACTTTTTTCACAAACAGCCAGGCAAGGTGTCATTGTTATGGTGACTTTTTCTTGATTTGGCACATGAAATGATTGCAGGGAGGGAGGGGGTTAGAACAGAAGGGGGAAGGGTGTTAGAATACATTACAGGCTTTCCAGAAGCTGTTTCGTTAAGGACTTTAGAGTCCAAAATAAGCCAGAGTCCTCTGAAAATAATCCCCCTGCTGTAGAAGCAACATAACCAGAAGCTAATATTTTTACAAGTGGCTAATGCTAGATAACTAAGTTCATGAACTTATGACAGAGTATAGCTGGAAAGGAGCTGAAAGATGCTAAATTCCTGGCTTCTTCTTTTTTTTAAAAAAAAAAAAGACAGATGCTTCCATTTTAAACATTTAGCCATACACACCCCTTCTGGTTTTATTATTTACGGGTATTAAGGAGAAAACATGTGGCTTACAGTTCTTGAAGATTTAAAAAGGTGTATTTTAAAACTGAGGCGTATATTCTCTGTCAGAGGAATTTCCTCACAATGCAGGAGTGGGAAAAATGCATGGAATCCAGCAGGTAGCCTTTCTGTCGAGAGCATTTACCTGTCAGTCCACCAAGAACTGAATGTAGCAATTATGTGACATGGTAGAAAAGCACCATTTTCAGATTTGAGCAGGAGGTATATACGTGTCCCAGCTCTTGCACAAACTTCCACTTGTGCAAATGGATCCGGACCCTTCTGCAGAGCTTTGTGATTGTATAAACCTAGAATCTCTGCTGCCTTACAATATATAGAGAAGCCTTGGATGGGTAGCTTGTGTCTTTTAGTCTGTCGGCCACTCCTTCTGTGCTTGTTTTGCACACACATACATGTTGCTTTGCCAAAGAAGAAGACAGTAATTTTGCTCAGAACCATTCTGCACTTATTGTGGAGCCCATGACTGGTGGTGGTTTTGGTGAACAACTTGTCTCATTTTCACACTGGGTGTGTGTGATGTTTTCACACTGGAAGCAGCAGTTTTTTTCAAAACTCTGCCTTGAGTTTTTGAGACAGCTTTTCTCACTGAGTGTAAGAACTTTGAGGAGTATTCTTCAAGTCCCTAATCGGGGACTAGCAAGAGGGACTCTCCTCAAAGTGATGGCTTTAATTACTTTTCAATTACAACCTGCTCAAAATAATTTAGGATACAACTGGGCCTGTTACGAATGATAGGTTATAGAACTGCTGGGTAGCTCAGTGGTTTAGTCTTATAGAACTGCTGGGTAGCTCAGTGGTTTAGCCTTCGGCTGGAGTAGATGATTTATAGGGTCCCTTCTACAGTTCTAAGGTTATTAGGGTTGCAGTTAAGTTCAGAGGAGAGAAAGCTTAGAGAGGGACGATTATGCCAGCCATCCTCGTAAAGGTTCTCCTTTCAACTGGCTCCACCATACCGTAGGACCAAATTGTGGCTGCCGACCTTATTCGCTCATGACGTTTGTAAGATTCGTTTTTTCCCCAGTTCACATTAATTGAGGTCCTTTTGAGACGAGCTTTCTCCAGCAGCATCAAAATCACACACGGATCCATTTGGGTAGCCTTACGCTCTGCTTTCCAGTCTTCGGGGTAAAACGGCACTTAGAATTAAATAGACTTTTCAGCCCATCGCTTGCCGAACACTCCTGGAAAGACGCTTTGCTGACATTTCCAGATGGTGTTCGGGTGGTTTGCAAAACAATGCGCTTCCCCTTTGAAGAAGGAGCTATAAAAAAATATTACACATCTGAGGCGCTTTGTACGCATCCCACAGGGAGGCTGCTCTTGACAGGTAGCGGCTTAAAGCAGGTGAGAATATACGGGAGCTGAGCTTACAGGTAGCCTGTGGAGAAAATCTGTCCCTCCCCGTGTGATGCCATTTCTTGGAAAAACTGAGTGGCTGGGCTTAAGCTTCTTTGCCGAAATGCAGGCTGGCTTTGCTGAGCTGTCGGAGACCTGTGTGAGGCCGCAGGGCCTAAATCACTGGCGTTCGTGATGTTATTCCAGTGCCTTGCAACTCTCTCTCTCTCTCTCTCTGCACCTTTTCTCCCGGGTTTCTCAGTTCTTAGAATCACCAGCCCTGTTCAGATGCTGGGAACGTCTCTTTTAAAAGCGCTTGAGCCTCTCCAGTGACCCTAAGTGCGAGGGAAGAAGGGGCGCCTTAGGCAAACAGGTCCAGAGGTCCTAAAATCTTTTATAGCCCCCAGGAGTCCCTGAACGGTTCTATGGGATGATGCATGATGTTGTGAGCCATGGGGATTGTGGGTAAACTCCCAAGAGGAATAACGAGTCCTCTGGTCCTCTGATCGACAGGTTCCGTGGGAATCCAATGCCTGGAGTCGCAATGAACGACAGTGACACAATCCGGGTGGATGATGGTTTAAGTTACGGGAAGGGGCATTTTACCATGGAGAGATCTGAATCTGACATGCCAGAGCTTACAGGCGCCTTGTCTCTATCACAGTTGCTGGATGAGGAGCTTGGCAGTGATAAGTTACAAATAACCTACCTCCCTGTAACTAGTTACTTCTGAGGGAGTTAAGGGGAACACATGGTTACATTTTAAAAGCAAAATGGCAAGTGAGATTAAAGTTTCTTTATTAGTTGAATTATTTATTTACGTAGCATAAAGGGCCATTTTAAAAGCAAAATGGCAAGTGAGATTGAAGTTTCTTTATTAGTTGAGTCATTTATTTAGCATAAAGGGCAATCCTCTTAGAACTGCAGAGCTGGAAGGGACCCTACGGGGTCATCAAGTCCATCCCCTGTCCAGGAGGCAGACAGTGGGGGAATCGAACCCCCAACCTCTGGCTCCACAACCAGAGACTGAAGCCACTGAGTTCCCCATGAGGCTTCAGAAGCAACTTTAAAGAATGCTTCGGGGAATTTTGAAGGCATTTTGATAGCATTTCCCCGTCCCCCAAGTTTTATGCCGTTTTCAGCCTCACAACAACTTAAGGGAAGATTGTTTGGCAAACACAGTCATGTTCAATGAGAATAAATTTTTTAATAATAATAAAAAGGAACTTTCCAAGAAGCAGCTTTCCGTGGGACAGGAAGGAGAGGCGGAAAAGAGCAGAACTCTGTAGGTGGCAGGAACCAGGTTTTGGCTGGGGTGAGGAGCAGCTTTGTAAGTTTTGAACATGGTGCTGCTGCTGATTTTTGATGGTGTGATTGCGAGGCCCAGCAGGGCCCACGGAAGCGGCAGTGGCAAGAATCGCATGCAGGCCGTTCCTGCTTTAGGTGATGTGGGTGTGATGAAGGAACCCTAGTGAACGCAAAGGCTGCAGCTTTTGCTAGTAATTTACCGCCGGAATTTGCTCCCTTTATGTAACAATGGAAGAAGATTTTGGCCCAGGTGTTTTTGGGAATGCTGTTTCTGATTAATGCTGATCTTTTTGCTGCTGTCCCCCAAGTTTTATGCCGTTTTCAGCCTCACAACAACTTAAGGGAAGATTGTTTGGCAAACACAGTCATGTTCAATGAGAATAAATTTTTTAATAATAATAAAAAGGAACTTTCCAAGAAGCAGCTTTCCGTGGGACAGGAAGGAGAGGCGGAAAAGAGCAGAACTCTGTAGGTGGCAGGAACCAGGTTTTGGCTGGGGTGAGGAGCAGCTTTGTAAGTTTTGAACATGGTGCTGCTGCTGATTTTTGATGGTGTGATTGCGAGGCCCAGCAGGGCCCACGGAAGCAGCAGTGGCAAGAATCGCATGCAGGCCGTTCCTGCTTTAGGTGATGTGGGCGTGATGAAGGAACCCTAGTGAATGCAAAGGCTGCAGCTTTTGCTAGATATTCCTCCTTATGTGAAAGCGTCCACTTTGGTTTTAAGAACGCATCGCAGTTCTGTGTAAAGTCCAGACATGGCATGTTCTAATCAAAGCTCATTAATACTAAAGCCAGCTGGGGAAAAAAATGGAAGTTGGCTAACGGTCGGGTGGAGGCAACATAAAGAATGCTGTGATGTAAATGCTGCCTCCTGCTTCTGTTATTTATAGCAGTGCAATGGCTTTATCTCCCAAAGATTATAAAGGGCTGGAGATCCTATTTAATTGAAGCATGCTGTTTTTAAGGAAATGGGACAGATCCCACCCGCTCTTTTTAACAAATCTGTTTGGGTACACTTGTGTCTAGACACAATGGGCGGATCGTTCCCTCACTTCCAAGCTTGTTGCTTTCATTGGAATTAGACCAAGGATAAATTTGGTCCAGCATCTTTCATGCAGATAAATAAGTTGTTGTTTCTCACTCACTTTCTCTTTGCTATATTTGCTGGGGAATGTTGTTCTTCAGGGGAATTAAAGCTCGCTTGACAACCATAATGAATTAAAAATTTCCCTCCCGCTTAACTACACAGACACAGTAGGACCCCCTCATCCATGGGATCAGTATCCATAGATTCACGTATTCATAGTCTCAAAATATTAAAAATATTTTTTTAAAAATCCAGAAAAAAGTATTTTCCCATGTATTACCAGGACTGACCACTAGAGGGGTCCAGAGACCATGCTATGAATACTTGTTAGTGAAGAATACATAGCGTGGTCTCTCACACCCTCTAGTGGCCAGTTCTGGTAATGTATGCGAAAATATTTCCCACCTCCTTTACCATGCCCCCTCTACCCTCTAGTGGCCAGTTCTGGTAATGTATCCTTTAACATGTTTGCTATTATCCACGGTTTTGAGTATCCACAGGAGGGGACCTGGAACCAATCTCCAGAGGGATATAAGGGTCCTTTTAAGGCATGACTCTAACTATGTTCACCTTGCATTTAAAAAAGTAAAATTAATGCAAATGTAAAGAATTTTTAAAGTAATCTTGCACTGGTTGGCATCGAAAGATATCAAAACCTCTCCCCACCAGTAAAGATGGATGGTTTGCAAACACCCGTCGTTGCCGAGAGAACTCTACCACACAGCTGCTCCTTCCCTTTCAGTGATTGAATCAAAGACGCTCCAGGGAGAGAGCGGAGAACACAGCTTTGGTGCGTCCGGAACGTTTGCCATTGAAAACACTACAGTTGAATTTCAGAAGGGTTCAGAGAGAGAAATTCTGAAAATCCCAGGGCCTCTGGGAGCAGATTTCATTATCAAGGTAAGATGTCCGTTTCGCTCTGTAGTCGACGTTCTCTGTGCCAAAACACCAAAAATAGCTCCATTTGAAAGTTATTTTTTTAAAAATAGGAGATGCTTGGTTAGAATTTATTAAGGTGCCCTCTGCTTAGTTAAGTGTTACTTAATGTACAGCTTTGTAGTCCACTTTTCAGGTCAAATGAACTTTGCAAAATGGATTATAGCTTTTTTTTTTTTAAATTGAATTCAGTCCCTAAAAACAAGGTTCAGAACATAAATAATTACAACAAGACTTCTGCACAGTGCTTGCCTCATCCGTGCAAAGATTTATCCTTCTCCTGTTCATCTGTACTCAAAAGGGAATGCAACCTTATCTTCGTTTTTTGTATTTGAGCCTCCGTGCCCAGTTTTCATATTACTACTGCTTTGCCAATGCAAAATAACAGGTTCCAAAACCAGACAGAAAAGGCTCCTGAAATGTTGTGGTTTTTTTTTGGGGGGGGGAGGGTGATTTGTGGGTGGGCCTCCATTTGTTGAATATTAAAGAAAAAGATTCAAAAAGTAGCTAAAGAGGGGGCACTTTAGTGCTGTATTATTAATGCATCACTTTTTAAACCTCACTTTTCTAAACAATAACAGATTATTCCCGAATAATGAGTAGAAAATTGCAAATGCATTTTTAATGACAAAATTTCAGGTTCTGAATAATCTGAGACCAAAAAAATTGGGAGAAAACGCGCGGAGAGGAGAGGCGGTGCATATTTGTGTGTGTGTAATTCCTAAAGACAACAGCAGCCTAATCTCTTAACTCCAGAGATTTCTAGTTCAGATGTCCTTCTCTCTGAAGGGCAGAGAATATGAGACTTCTGAAGTTTCATATCACAATTCAAGGTGGACAAGATAATTAAGTGGATGGTGAAGGCAACTTAAACAGAAGATGAAGCCAAAGGAATACGTTCTTCTTCTTCTTCTTCTTTTGTCCTCCTGGCAGTGATATTCGAGAACAAATCATTTGTACTCACTCAAGAATGTTCTCTTGTGTGATTTCAGTATCTTAATTCGGGGAAGGGGATGGTGATGTCTTTGCCATCTAATGGAGCATCTTCACCTTTCAGTTGTAGAACGGGATGGATGTGCCAGTTCTTTCATCCTTCATTGAGGACTGACTCAATGAAGGATCAAAGAACTGCCACATCCATTCTTTATATAACCACAAATGACTAGAGAAGAGGAACAACCCCCCTCCAGTGGCTATTCTTCTGTTCGATAATCCAAAATGTCCATTTTGGACTGTGTAGTACTCCAGATTTTCTGCCCTTGTCATTCGTAGGTTCCCCTTGTTTATTTTTTCACATGGCTTTCTGAACCCTGTTTTGTACACGAGTTATACTCTAGCGGACCGTAAAGCTCTGGCACGCGGTGGTATACAACTGAGTTGAAATGGGATTCCTTTTTAGGTCAGGTACACCATTCCCAAAGACAGCACCGTTCAATTCTTTTTCTACCAACCGATAAGTCACCAGTGGAGACAGACCGACTTCTTCCCTTGCTCGGTCACCTGTGGAGGCGGTGAGTAATGGATGCGGTGATGGGAGAGTGCGCAGTGGTTGCTCACTCTTAAGGGGTGTATCTACAGCTTTTTAATGGTGAGTTCCTTAGGATCCTAGGATCATGGAGTGGGAAGGGGCATCTAAGGCCATTGAGTCCAACCTCTTGGTCAAGGCAGGAATACAAATAAAAGCAGATCAGACACGGGGTTGTCTTACGTTTCTCTTGAATGCCTCCAGTGTTGGAGCACTCCTCCCTGTTTGCATTTTTTGGAAAAAGTGCAGGAGGGCAATACATTTGCCGCTAGAGCCAACCCATGCTCTGAAGGAGCCACCATCCCGTGGACTGTTCTTCTAGTTCCCACCCCATGAAATGCTTCCTGGCTGAGGTGATGCTCTCTCTCTGTCAGCTTCTGTCCACATTCGTTCGCCTCCTTACAAATGACCTGGATATTTTTTGGAGGTATTCGTTTTGCAAACCAAATGAGGGGCGGAGGGGAGAAAATTAAGTGTCTAAACCATCCTCATCTCTTCGTTTGGTTGGACAATAATTGAAAACTGTTTTCTCTTCGCCTGCACATTCATATTCTCCACGGCGGAGTTCGTAAAAGCTTTCAGAGAGCATGCGTGTCTCGTAAAAGGCAGCTGTATTTAAATAAACAGTTAAAATGTTCAATATTTACATTCTGTGTTTTAGGGTTCTTGATCTGTTCTCCTGAGCTTTTTGATGGCTCAGCAGAGCTTACTCACGGCGTTGTTAATACCCACGGCCAAGACCTCGTGTGTAATTTCATAGTTCTCTTTGCTGTATGTCAGGAGACTTTGGCCCATTGATATGTGTGAAAACTTTGATATGCAGTAATGAAGGTTTATTACCATTACTTGTATTATTAGAATTCTGACAGAATGTTTTGAGTTCTTCACTAAACTTTGGATTTTTATTCTTCTGGTTCCTACTTCTTTATAGTTCTGCATTTTTTTCCCTGGCTTTCTTGAAGTCTCATGTGAAGATTCTCTCCTACATGTTTAAGCGTTCTTCACCTCTTCCTCTCAGGCATGAGAGCAACAGATGAATTCACAGCCTTCAAATTTGTGGCTCTTAGTGTGTCTTTTCTCTCACTTACTCACTCTGTGTGTGTGTGTGTGTGTTCCTGCTTCCTGTTCTGACTCCCTTTGCTCTGTTAGAAGGAATCTTGTTAAAAATATTTGTGGTTTCGGTAAAGTTAAGCCCGGTGGTATTTCTGGATCGTGCTTTTCGTGATTCTAGCTTCCTCTTTTAAATTGTTTCTAGGGCTGCTCGGAACCACAGAATGCATAAACTTTTGACTAATCTGCAAAAGTAGCCTAGCTTTTGTGATGCTACGTGGGTGTAAAGCCACCGTGACTAGTGCAGAGATGTGCACAAGCACACTATACCTCTGTACCCTAAGCATTTATGAAGATTTCCCTGTTTTGTTATTTCTTTTGCAGTCCAGAACTCAATAACATTTACAATAGGTTTCGCGTTAGTTTGAGATTCAGCCTCTGCCTTACCATCAGTTATGGCCATAGGAGAACCCTGGCAAAAATGGACCAAAATACATCCAGGTGATGTGAGAGATGCCTGCTGGTTTTGTACGGTCCACCTGCTTAAGCCACTGGGACTTTCTGGATTCATATTTGAAGGGAATCCATTTAAAAACTAGGAAAAGGCAGTTTGCATTAATACAGTGAGTCTCTTCACTGTTTCCATGCCATTTAGGGTTGCCAGGTGACCACCTCTATCTGTCCTTGAGATTTCACGACCGACAGCTGACGACAGGGTGCAGGGCCCTTGTGATGTCAAAAGGAATGGGGGAACATCTGCAACTATTGAAAAAAAAATCATGTATGCATGCATGTTCTTAAGAGGGTGAAGCATATAGCCCATATTTCTTGCACTATGAGACACCTTCATACTGAGCCAGTAAGCCTCATGGCACAGTGGTTAAACTGCAATACTGCAGCCAAAACTCTGCTCATAACCTGGGTTCTATCCCAGGTAGCCAGCTCGAGGTTCACTCTGCCTTCCACCCTTCTAAGGTCACTAAATGGAGCACCCAACTCCCCAGGGAGGCAGTGCGTAGCCTGAATAATTGAATTGTAAACTGCCCACAGAATGCTTTAAGTGCTATGGGGTAGTATATAAGCAGCACACTTTGCTTTGTGAATACAAGCCCCGATACCGATTTGCGGTGAAGGGGAAATGCCCAAACATTAAAACCACCCCACATCATTGCATCAAACTTTTCTCTGCCTTCAGCTTGTCTCCCTTTCTGGAGACCCAAGGAAACGGACCATTTCCTTCAGCCATGGCAACCCTCATTTCATTCCCGGACTTCTCCCCCAGGAGAGCAGATGGCCAGAGAGGAGGAACTTGTCTGGAGGAAGGAAAGGGTTAGTGTCACAGTTCTGTCAGAGGCACACGAACTCTGCTCCATGCATAGAAGGGAAGCTGAGATCCAAACCAGTAAAACGATTTTATAAGCAGTGGTAACAGGGATTAGGAGTAACTGGAGGATGGTCGTGTGGGGTCTGCCCCAGTCCTTTGTCGGTTCTGTCTGCTGCTGTTGCAGCTGCTGTACTTTAACAGGCCTTTAAAGACTGTGGAACCCTGTCCTGTAGTTTGCAAATCCATTCCTCTGTTCTAAAAGATGTGTGATCTTTTTTTCCTCTCCCCCAACGTTGAGTGACAGAGACACTTCAGTGCCCTAGTCCGTGTAGGAGGGATAAATACAGCCAGCAGTTTTTGGAACTTCCATCAGTGTTGGCATAAAGAGTTTTCTGGCTTCGCTTGATGGAAACAAGTCCTCTCACATCGTTGGGCTCCGCTTCTGAGGGGGGGGGGAGTTGTGAAATGTTTATGCACATTCCAATGGCTCAGAATTATTATTATTATTATTCCCCCTTCCCTCCAAAGTTGTAGACAGCCTGAGGGCATGTTGAGAGCTGGGTACTGTTGGCGGGATGTGGCCCGGAGGTGTGAAGGCACAACTCTGAAGCAGTTCTTGAAGGCTTCCAGGCTTCTCTAGTCATGCTTTTTCTGTGCCTTGTTTCAAAGGGAAGAACCTGTCTAACAGAGATGGGATTTTCTTGCTTTTGGTGGCCATGTGCTGCCAGGTTTTGGCAAAAAACAAGGGATTCAGGTCTGCCAGGTCTGTGGCTCCTTAGGTGAAGTCTCAGGAAACTGCTAAGTTTCCTTGGGTCTCCAGACACGGAGACAACGATCACGGTGAGTGGTTCTGGAGGAGGTTCTGAAGGAGGGCTCACGGGCTCAGCAGGATGGCGTTTGCAAGTGTCCGCACCAGAGAGCACCTCCTCTCCAACCGCCCTGTTTCTGTGACATCTCCTGGTCTCAGATTTTGAGTCTGAAAATCTCTAGGCGTCGAGTGTTGCTGGTGCACCTGATGGATTTACACCGTATGGAAAGGGGGCTGCCCTTCCTGTACCCACCCAAGCCGTATGTCTTGATGGGGAAGAAATCTGAATGGGACGGGCGTACAAGAGAACGGAAGGGAAGAGGAGAGACATCATCACAGCGATTTCTCACAGGAATCTATGAGCTCATGGCCAAATTCCTCTTGGTTACGCCTGCACCGGTGTAACACAACTGGGGCAAATGGCCACCCGTTAGGAAGTGAGCCTAGAGGCTGCCTGCTGCGTGCCAAGGAAAAATGCCTGTGCTGATTTCTTAACGAGCAGCAATGCACATGTGAGATTTATGCCACGCTTGCATTACACCAGTGTAAAAACTTGGTTAGATATTGGACAGGGTGTGCCTCTGCTTCTTAATATTTCTGCCCCTACCCGGACACCATTAATATCCTCCCCCCCACCCCACTTTTTTCATCGAAGGTTATCAGTTGAACTCTGCGGAGTGTATGGACATCCGTTCGAAGCGCGTTGTGCCCGACCAGTATTGCCATTATTATCCTGAAAATAAGAAGCCGAAGCCAAAACTCAAAGAATGCAACATGGATCCGTGTCCGTCAAGGTATGTATCGCCAGCGCCTCTGTGGGTGGTTGGCATTGACATCTAAGTCCTTTTTGTTTATAGTTGCCAAAGGACCATCTTTATAACCGAGGGGTGCAGATTTGTGTTCCTGGACTACAACCCCCAGAATTCCCCCATCAGCCTGGCGTATCATGCAGAGATCATCTCTGCCGGATCGCAACCGTCGTGTCGCTGGTTTCCAACATAAGCAGCACTTCTCATTCCTCGCTTGGCCGGTGCCTTTTACATAACTTGGCTTATTCCTCACTAGGTCAATAATTCCCAGACGTTTGATATATGAGACGGTTTATTTTGGGATTAAAACCGGAGGCACACTTCCCAATCCTATGCCGATGCACACGCACACACAAACACACACGTACATGCAAAATATATAAGGCATGTTTATTATGAAACCTCAGAGCATATCCTGCCAAGATGGTCTCACGGCATCCGGCCTGCTTTTCTGTTCCACAGAGGAGAGATCCAGGGAGGAATTCTGCATTTCAAGGTCTCAGAGGTGTTCAGGTCTGGCCTGAGAAACTTTGCTGATTAGAGTAGGGCGGCCGATGCTACCTCCCTGTCCCACAATTGTGGCGTGTATTGTCCAAGATGGTCACATCATTTGGGTGCTTGGGGCATTTGGCAGCTCCTCGTCAAGCAACTAGGGTGGGGGCCGTGTGGCCCTCCTGACTGACACTTTTGTGAACGGTCTCAGAGGTGTTCAGGTCTGGCCTGAGTAACTTTGCTGATTAGAGCAGGGTGGCCGATGCCACCTCCCCATCCCACAATCGTGGCATGTATTGTCCAAGATGGTCACATTATTTGGGCGCTTGGGGCATTTGTCAGCTCCTCGTCAAGCAACTGGGGTGGGGACCGTGTGGCCCTCCTGATGTCATCAGACTGACACTTTTGTGAATCTCTGCTTTCCCACTGCTCATTCCAGCTAGGGACTATGGGATCTGGAGTTCCTCTTGAATATTTTGAAGGCCATACATTGTTGCCTTTGCCTCCTGTTCTAGGGGGTGACACAATTTCAGAAACCAATGCCTGGTGGCATTTTCCTGTCCTTTTGGACATCATGTCAAGGTTTACATCTTGCTTGCTTGCTGGTCGTGGGCTGCAATAAAACAAGTCAATGCAATGCAGTGCATCAGAGAAGGAAAAGGCGCATGTGGAGCAGAGACCACATGCGCATGGCTGCCAAAGTTCCTGGAAGCTGTAGCGAGCAGCAGCAGTGTAGATAGACCGGATTGAGTTGCACCGTGACATTTAAGGCGTGCTTCGCCGTTGGGCCGTCTGGTGCTGTTTCCTGGCTCTGCTAAAGTATCTTAAAATAACACTGTGGTATCTAGCCCAGAACCTCACGTTAAAATGCCAGCTGGCAGAGCCAGAGATCTATCCGAGGAGGAGGAGGAGGAGGAAAAGGAAACATTTTCAGTGGATTTCCTTTCCTACCACTAAGCCTCCCTGTTTCCTCCAATCTCCACTGAACAGAGTCATTGATCGAGGTGACCCCCTCAAAACCAGGATGCCCGGAACTCACCAGGCTTGCTCTGCACACCCACTCTGGCAAAAATCGAATATAAGATCATTAAAAGATTGATGTACCTTTCAATCGAGGTGACCCCCTCAAAACCAGGATGCTTGGAACACCCACTCTGGCAAAAATCGAATATAAGATCATTAAAAGATTGATGTACCTTTCAGAAGCAGACTTGGGGTGGTGCGAAGGAGGAGGGCGATGCAATCTGAGTGTTTGCCGCTTATACCAACAGTATAAAAATGGGGGTGCTAAGATGCTTGGGGATGAGCCTCCTGGTTGGTTTCCTTTCACTCCTTTTTCTTGTCGGTGTTAGGATGAGGCCGGGCCCTTGCACCTCTCATTCAGGATCCCCAAGGACACTTCTCTGGGGCCATCTGAGGGCTTGAGCTAGACTGAGACACTAGAAAATTTCGACCACAGGCCTGGAAATACCAAAGCCAGTGTGCCCAGTGGCTATGCTGAGTGGAGATTCCAAGGGCTGGAGGCCAGAACCCATATATGAAGGTCACACCCTCTTGATGTCAGTACAATTGAGAATAAAACCCTTATTCCCTTCTCACTGTGAGATTTGCATTTTTTTTACTTCTAAGAAATCTTGTGGGATTTTTTTTTTCTGGATGTTTTGAGGTGAGTTTTTGTCTTTTTGGAAGACAAGTCAAGCAGTCTGGGGTTATTAAAATTCCATTTGAGAACGTTGTCATTCCTGTGCAGGATTTGAAGAACACTGGAGAAGTGCCATCCTGTGCAGGATTGCTTCAGTTCCTGCTCAGCGTGCCAACTCTTCTGCTTAGGATTCAGCAGAAATGGGCGTTCAGTTTCATAGCATTTGGCAGCTTCTTGCCCAGAAAAGGAAGTGGAAATTAAATAAAGGGGAAAGCAAGACTCATTGCTGATACAAGGAAATCTTAGCAAGAAAAGATTCAGATAATTGCTATGTCCCTGGTCCAAACAGTGTTTTCTAACTATGCTATTGGTGACCAATAGTGCAGTCCTATGTAGCTCCTAAATAAAACAACAACAATAGGTAAACTGTAAAACAATTTAAAACTATTCCACAAGGTAAAACAAGGCACAGAAATTCACTACTCAGTTGTGGTCCTTTCTAGGCTCTAAAACCTAAGCGAAGAACCAAGTTTTAATTTGACAAGGAAATGAGCTGAGCATCGCTGCTAATGATGCTGCCAAATTTGCTGAGTAAGCACATGTTTTAAGTGGTTCGATATTGCCTTGTTGTCTTGCAATCTTGACGTGAAAATTTAAGATCCTGGGCAGGATAGAAATATTTTAACAAATAAATAATATGTGCGTGGTATTAGGAATGCAAATATATAACCTGATCTCCAGCCTATAACTCTGCATCTTCTTGTTTTATTCACAGTGATGGATTTAAAGAAATCATGCCGTATGATCACTTCCAGCCACTTCCTCGGTGCGTATGACATCTAAGAGACATGGCTTGCTGTTATGATGACTATTCCTTTGATACGATAGGACACTATATTCATTTTTTTAAAAAAATTCCTGGATAGCTCGGTGCTTTAGGGGTCTCTGGCTGTGTAGCTGGAGGCTGGGAGTTCAATTCCCCCCCCACAGGGCCTTCTTGACTGGGGCTGGACTTGATGATCCCTTAGGGTCCCTTCCACCCCCGAAGAGGTGGGAGAGCATTTGGAAAAGCTATCCTGCCAGCCTCCTTGGAATCTGTTGGCTCAAAGGAGGCTCGACTTGATGATCCCTTAGGGTCCCTTCCAGCCCCGACAAGGTGGGAGAGCATTTGGTAAAGCTATCCTGTCGGCCTCTTTGGAATCTGTTGGCTCAAAGGAGGTTCACCCCAGGTCTGCCCTTAGCATTGTATTGCCTCCTCCAACTCTTGAGGTGTGCAGGGGATTGGGAATAAGGGTGCCCCAGAGCCCCTGGCGTCAGCCCTTGAAGCACGAGGTGGAATCACACGCAGCCTGCATTTGACACCATTGTCCTGAGCTTGACTGCACGTCCCAGCCCATCCCTTGGACACCTGCTGTTCATTAAGAGCAGGTCTGTATGCAAGCTTCCTTTTTATGGCCCTACGGAGTTTAGGAAAGCCTTCGTCGGTCAAACGAGGAACTGGGGTGAAAGTCCCAGTGTAGGGAAGCAGGTCTTTAAAAAGAGAAGCACTTTGGCTTAAGTTGTAAGCATGCCACTGGCCTGTTTGAACAGATGGAGAATGCTTTTGGAATAAATAGGAAGGGGGAAATCCCCAGGCTAAATGTCCTCCCCCACACTACATGCATACACACACACACACACACACACACATGAACATGTGTGCATTCATGCACAAACACACGCCTACTGCTTTGAAAACTTTTGGAACGGCTTCCTGCAATTCAGGCTTGCTGGAGTGTTGACGGATCCCTTGTCAGGCGCCGACTCTGGAAAGCGTCTACGGGACTGCCTTGCCTGCCATTCCTCTCACCCACCCTGGAACGTGCTTCTGGGAACTTCAGACGTGGAGCATTATTTTTTAAAACCAACCAGAGAAAGAAAAGCAGCTGCACAAAATGCAGACCATCAACACTTCTGTGACTAGCACTGCGTACAGTGCTTTGCGTTAGGTAGTGCACAAATCCGCGCACCGCTAATGGCGGTGAAATGTTTGCAGGAGGTTGGTAGGGGTTGAGGTCTTGGACCAGTTTCCCATCTTGGCCATCCTTGCCCTGCCAGCTACCACGGCCAGCGCTTTGTAAAGAGCTGTTGAAAAACGGCCTATAAATGTTCTACGTCAGTCAAGTAGGTAAGTTTTATTGTCCAGATATTGCTGGTGCTTCAGGGTAGAGGTAGATGGAGGCTAAGGCAGGGTGCAGAATACGTGCCTCTCCAACCCATTTGTTGCCATGGCTGAAACTGGTGGTGCTGGTGCTGATGGAACCAGGGCGCTGACCTTCAGTGGCAGCCTAAGAAAAAGATAACCAACTGAGTGTTGGCCGGGTGTCCTTGTGGGAAGTGTTCGAGAGTCCAGGTGCCACCACGGAAAAGGACCTGCTGTGGATTTCTCACCTCTGATATGTGACTCCAGGGACGTCAGGCCAATCTGCAGTCTGGGGCCATGAGAACACCCAAGGATATTCCATCAGAACTTCATTCAGTCCAAAGGCGCCCGTTCCAGCTGCGTCCCCTTTTCCTTGCCACAGGTACCCCTGCCTGAAAGCAACCTGTTGTTGTGCAGAATTTTTTTTACTCTTGCACACAGTATAGAAATGCCTCCGGCTACTAGATCTGATGGGGCCAACGTTTGCTGTAACACTTCTCACATTCGTCATCCTTTCTTAACACATTGATTGTTTCGCTTGGTTGAAGTTCATGAAAGGCTCGGAACAGATGAGCACATGCATCTTCATGACGATGGTGAAATCATTAGCTTTAGTCTTTCTGTTGCCTGGTTTTGATCATGTAAGTTTGGTTTGAGTGTCAACACTCTGTAGACTGTAAGTTTCACATTTGGTTTGTGTATAATGTGCTTAATTTACTCTGGGTGGAGAGTTACATGAATTATGTCAGGGACTGAGCCTTCCTTGACTTGCTCCCTGCATCTTTGGGAGCCGTTATTTAAATTTACCTTTGGATTTATAGGTTTCTGCTCCATCTGTTCTGTATTTGACTTCTTTACTGTACCTCTGCTTCTCCCAATGAGGGCTTTAAGAGGGATACGCTTGCTCATGTCAACCCATGTAGTTGCTCCGTATATATATATTTTCCTCCGAGCTGTTAACAGTTGTAATATTTAAATATGTCTTAGACTAAAATGTTAAATGTTGGTTTTCTTGCCTTGATTTCTGCCAGCAGAAAACATACATTGATTAAAACTGTGTGTTTGTGTGCATTTTCTTTTACTTTTTTTAAAAAAATCAAACCAGTAATGGGAATAAAACATGTACTTCATTTGAATAGAGCAGAACTATAGATAAGCCACCATTTATTACATGGTGTCTCCAGACACTGCATAGTGATGGCTGATGTTTCTTTGTTTAAAGATCTTTATTATACACTTCTTAATTTAATAATTAATCAGAATGACTTGCTTTCAGGTGGGATTCCAAGCAATGATGACCATCTCCTAGGGCTTTCTAGGCACAGCAGTCAGAGGTGGCTTACCAATCCCTTTTCTGGTGGTGCTGTGGGACACCCCACACATACACACACACCCATGTAGCTTGTTCAGAGCCATGCAGTTCTAGGCACAGCAGTCAGAGGTGGCTTACTAATCCCTTTTCTGGTGGTACTGTGGGACACCCCCCCCCCACACACACCCATGTAGCTTGTCCAGAGCCATGCAACTGCCAGGGCACATAATCTCATCAACCGAAGATGCTCCATGTGATGTTGGCTGAACTGTCTCCGTGGGGATTTGAACTCGCAGCCATCACCTCTGAGACTGAGCACTTCAATCCAATAAACCAATGGTTCCCAAACTTGGGTCCCTAGAGGTTCTTGGACTGCAACTCCCAGAAATCCTGGCCAGCGCAGCTGGCGGTGAAAAGGCTTCTGGGAGTTTCAGTCCATGAACATCTGGGGACCCCAGGTTGGGAACCACTGCACTAAGCTATCTCACCTCTCATTTTGACACTGTAATTTACTGTGTTTTTTAGTTCCATTTGGATTTGACATATTTGACAAATAAGTGGATTCTAGATCAAGTTGTAGCTCTCTGTAGAAGGCAGTATGACTAAAATCTGGATATATATCATGAGAAGAGAAGACACACGGGGGAAGTTAACCATGCTAGGAAAAATGAAGACGGTAGGAAAAGGGGAAAACCTAACATGAGATCCAGAGACTCGATAAAGAACCTCGAGTTTGCAGGATCTGAGCAGGGCTGTGAATGGCGGGACCTTTTGAAGGCCATTTATTCATAGGGCTGTCATAGGTTAGAAGCATCTGGATGACAGATGCAATGTGGGCAATCTGCCTATGGTTCCTACATCGGGACGTCAGTGGGATATTAAGTGAGATGCATAAATAAATATTCCATCACTGCTATCCTTATGGGTTTTTGTGGTGGTGGTGGGGAAATAGTGGGAAAACAGGAGATAGTTAGCAAGGGAAGGTGAAAACATCTGGAACCAGCAACACAAAATCTGGTTTGGAGGTTGTGCAATAAAAACTTTGTGTGAAAGCATCGCTGATTTCTAAGTCTTATTGTTTTTTTTTCTCCAACAAGAAAAAAAAATTACCCTCTAGAATCTTTCTCCAAAGTTCTACCCTGGGCAAATGACTTTGGCTTGAAGTCATTAAAAAAGTGGCTGAAAATTAAGAGCAAATGGGGCCCTATTTTTTAAGAGAGGAAGGGATTTCTGCTCCATCCAGAATTTAGTATGGGAAGAATCATCCCCCTAATCCGCCGGGATTTTAAAGCGATGAATTTGTGAGAACTCAGGAATCAGCACATCAACTTTGGACCAATTTGCCGTTGCGCTATTGGGACTCAACGGAGCGTCTGATTACTGACAATATTAAGTATCAAGGGCCAAAAAGAAGGGGCGGAGGGGTGTGTGGGGGAAACAGATCTGTTGTTTTCATTGTGGTTTGCGTCTCAAAACCAGGAGGAGAAGGGGATGCATTTCGTTATTTTTATTTTTTAAAAAAATTCTCCCTTTCCACCCAGCTGGGAACACAACCCTTGGACGTCTTGCTCAGTTTCATGTGGGGGCGGAATTCAGAGGAGAAGTTTCGTGTGTGTGGAGGAAACCATGCACGGGGAGATCCTGCAAGTGGAAGAGTGGAAATGCATGTATGCCCCCAAACCTAAGGTGATGCAAGCTTGCAATCTGTATGATTGCCCTAAATGGGTAGCTCTGGAATGGTCACAGGTAAGGTAGCTGGCAGAGAAGGTATACCTCTCTCTCTCTCTCTCTCTCTCTCTCTCTCTCTCCCTCTCTCCGTGTGTCTCGAAAAGTATTAATTTCTTATACAAAAATATTGCAAACTGTGCAAATATTGCAAACTGTGCAAATATTTCAAACTGTGCAAATATTGCACATTTTGCAACCATATTGCAAAATGCGGTGCCTCTGGATCTATCCAAGTTGCAAAGTTATGTTGATGGGGAACAACATTAAGGCTTCAGAATCATAGAACCATGGAGTTGGAAGGGGCCTCAAAGGCCATCGACTCCAATCCTCTGCTCAAGGCAGGAATCCCGATCAAAGCGGATCGGACAGAGGGTGGTCCAGTTTTTCTCTTGAAGGCCTCCAGCGCTGGAGAGCCCACTGCCTCCCCAGGGCATTGATTCCATTGTCGTACTGCTCTAACAGTTAGGAAGTTTTTTTCCTGAGTTTCAGCCCAAGTCTTGCTTCCTGTAGTTTGAGTTTGTTATAATGTGTCCTGCATTCTGGGATGATTGAGAACAGATTCTGTTCCTCCTCTGTATGACAGCCTTTCAAGCGTTTGAAAAGAGTGGTCATATGAAACTTAAGTTGAATAAAGAGACTGTAGATCTCATGCTTACTTATCTCACGAAAGCATTATCAAGTTCACATGCAATGATTTATTGTTCACCTCATTACTGCAGTTGTCTGAATTGATATCTACTGGTCTTGAATGAAGGGTTTCATAGTCTTTTCTCTCTTTTCTTTGCCGTTTTATTACCTGTTTCAGTTTACTGATTATTTGGCCACCTTGAGAGGTCTCCATTTAGACTTTTTTTAAAAAAAAAAATTATTGTGTTTATGTTAAAATAAATAATAAAATGGAAACTATCAGTCCACATTGACTCCTGTTGGACTGTTTGGTCTCAGCTGAAAACTCTTATGTTAAAATAAATAATAAAATGGAAACTTATCAGTCCACATTGACTCCTGTCGGACTGGTTGGTCTCAGCTGAAAACTCTTGAACTGGCCGATATCCTTTATGTGCATGTGTTGGTGTGTCATTTCCCACAGTGCACCGTGACGTGCGGCCAAGGATTACGTTACCGCGTGGTGCTGTGCATCGACCACCGTGGGCAGCACACGGGCGGCTGCAATCCTCAGCTTAAACTCCATATCAAAGAAGAATGCATTCTGCCCGTCCCTTGCTACAAGCCAAAAGGTAACCGGAACAGGGTTATGCGGTTCGATAGAGAGGAAGGTGCCTTTTTTCAGTTAAAGAGCATGGGGCAAGTGCTAAAATTTCTTTTACCGGCGCAAAGGATTCTCACCTCTCTCTCATCATCTCCCTTCTCTCTTACATCCACTCTCAACTAATCATCTATGTACAGTAGGAAACTCCCTGCCATCTCTGGGGTCCGTATTCACTGATTCCCTTACCTGCTAGCTGAAAATATTAAATAAAGAAACCTCAGAAATACCGATATCTATTTCCAGCATGTATTTACCAGAGCTGGCCACTAGAGGGAGGCAGAGACTATAGCATGTTCAATACTTCCATGTTTTGCTGCATCCATTGGGGAGCTTGGGACCGATTAACCCCCCCCACCCCAGATATGGCAGTCTTGCTGTACAGTATACTCTTTGCACACAGCATTCATGCAATAACATGCAGCGGTGTCATAAAAACAGAAGCCTAAATGGGGTGATCCATAGTTTTTGCTCACCTACTTATACCTCTTTCCGAAACCACCTCATAACATCTAGGCTGCAGTCTCACGACCGGTGGTGAAGTCCTGTCTAGTCGGCTTCTACGCAGGGAATTTTGTCAAGGCCACCAACTTGTATTTTTACTAGGGCAGATAAATGTCTGGGGCTTGCCCAGGCACCCATCCTGTCCTGTCTCCCCGCAGCATTTAGCATCAGCCTCTGGTTAACAGTTCTAGTCTTGCTGGCTGGATTTCTCCTTTCTCTGCTGAACCGCTTCTACTTTCAACTGAAAGGATCACAACCTGAACTCTAGAGTGTTCATAAACACCCCAACTTCTGAGCCAAAGATAAGGGAGGTCTCTTTTCAATAGGGACCTCACAGAGCTCTCGTAGCTGATCGCTTTCAAGGTTTCAAGCCCTGCAGCTGGCATTTGACTCCCCTTTTTTGTTTTTTAAATTTTTACGGGTATTCCGACAGAAAGAGATGCCCGGTTCAAGCCTCCGAACTAAGATGAAGGGCCCCGTGCATTTACCTCTGCATTTGTCTTTTTCTAGAGAAAAACCCTGTTGAAGCAAAACTGCCCTGGTCTAAGCAGGCCCATGAAATGGAGGAGATCAGAACCGCCTCTGAAGAGCCAACGTAAGTTTTCCATTCCCCCCCCCCTTTCTCCCTCCTATATAATATAGGCGGCGGCTGATGCATTTTCCTGACTGTTTGTAAAGACGTTACGTCCCTGCCAAGTCATCTGGCCATTGAATTTTCTTGGGCTGGGTCTCTCTTTGCAGCTCAATTCTCAGGTTCTTCTGAGCAATTCTCCTTGAAGAAGAAGAAAAAAGGGTATGAATTATATGTTTCAGAAGTTATGATCAAGGTTTTCTGAGCTGTGCAAAATATTCTTCCAGGATATATTTTGCTGGTTGAATTGAGGTTCAGAATGACTCTTGTAACGGTAACCAGAGATTTTTTGTGAAGGGCGGAGGTGGCGTGGAAAAGAGAAGCAGAAGAGATAGGTGTGTGGGTGTGTAGTTACGTAGAGATCCTTCCCCACAATCCGGACCGTCTTGTCCACCCGCTCTTAGCCAAGGGGAGGCATCTCAGTTAGAATTAGCTGAAGACGCTTTCAGGACGAGCCAACATCCTTCAGGTGTATGTAGAGTCACCAGGTCTCAGCAGGCTTCTGCAATTCTCTGTTCTCCAGGTGGGGAGGCCTAGCTCAAGGTAGGAGAAAGTTTTTTTTTGGGGGGGGTTGTAGGTGAAGTGGCTTTAGAGAGCATGGGGGCCCCCAGTTCCAAGCAACATGAGGGGTCGGCGTGCATGTACCCACGGGCTTTCTTCTCAGTCCTGGGCATTTTTTGCTCTGTTGATAGTAGACCCATTTGCCCTCTGGATAGTGGAACTCTGGTGAATTCTTGCAGGTCCAGCCCTGACAACAAAGGTGCAGAATCTGGGTGGATGGGTGGGGGATTTCTCCTGCCAGCCTTGCTGCCTGTAGCTCTACGATCCCCACTAGGGCCCTCTCTGTGGTCTCATGCTTTCGTGAAATCTCACGAGTGGGGTGCTGCCGACCCAGCCACCCTGTATAGGCAAAGGAGAACTTTGTCTTAACTTCGACTTGTGAACGAGTGGCATCTCTTCCGAAAGATGAGAAAATGTCCTTTTGTTCACTCGGCAGCTGTATAGCTTGGCTGTGCTGGCTGGGATCCTTTGGGAGGGGTGATTCCCCACCCCCCAAATAAGATCTCCTCGCTTTGTCTGTTCCTGGGAAGCCGAGACCTCGTCACGTTGCAACACGCCTGCAGTTTGTTCCATCAAGATTTGGTAACTGCCATGTACTCTGTGTAGGTCTTGTTTTTTGGGAGTGTATCCGGTAACTTCCACGGGTCCAGAACGAGGAGTCTAGGGTATACGTGAATGCTAATTTTGGAGAGCGTATTACACCCACGTTACAACAGCTGCATCAGTTCCCAATTCATTTCTTGGCACAGTTCGAAGCGGTGGCAATTATGATCCACAAACCACGAAAATTTTCAGAGCTTGGGGTGGGTTTTTTCATCTGAAATTGTGGGGCGGGGTAGGGGTTTCCTCCCCCCCCTCTCCCACCTCTGAATTTTATGGGGGGGAGATGAAGCCCTTACAAGCTAGAAAAGTTCTTGCTGAGCCTTTGGGGATTTTGGTATGAAAACAGAATCATTGACTTGGGATAAATGACCACATGCTATTCCTAGATAACGCCCACATAATATGCTACATTTGTACCAAATAATCTTGAACAGTATTTTAAAAAAAAAATTAGGTAGGACTGCCAGAAAACTCAAATGAGGTCAGTATTCAGTATTCTTTCTCTAAACATTTAGCAAAGTCCGTGTTCTTTCTACATGTTAAGAACACTGGTGACCAAGCCCTGCAGGATGTGGCTAGAGGTCTCCTCTGTTTTTCTTCCCCTGTCCAGTTGATCTTGGCACATGGATGTAAACAGGTGGCGGTCAAGGTCTGGCTCACGCCCGGCGCTGCCTTCTAAGCAGGTGTTCTTGATCTTGAGCATTTCTCTCGCTGAACAGCCAGCGAGCGTGCACGCGTCCGGGGTTGGAATTCCTTGATTTTGCAAATTGGGGTTGAACAGAGACCAGAAACGGTTTGCTGCAGGGGTGTTGGTGGCAAGACTTTGGGTCCGTGTCTCATGTTTGAGTCTTGGGTACCCAGTCCCAAGTCTGAGTTTTCCCCCAGGGGGGGAAAAAAAAGGAGGGATGGAGAGGGAGATTCCGAGTTGCAAGTTGAGTCCGGAGTCATTGGAAAAACAACAACAACAACACAGAAACCCGATTTGAGTCTAAATTGAGTTGTTGATGCAACTTAAGTCTGACTTGACAATGAGTGACTCGGTTTCCCAGTCCTGCTGTCCTTTGTAGGCTGCCTTTCTCCTGGGGAAGGGACCTGTTGACAGGGGCAGGACTTTGTCTCACTGCCTAATGGCATCCAGAACGTGCAAAAATTTTTGTACCTTCTTTGACCACAGTCACCAGCAGCCATGCTGGTTGGGGGATTCTGACTGTTGTGGTTGAAAAGGTCACTTTTCTAAGCTCCAGTTACCATCATTTTTCTTTGCCCCCCACCCCACCCCGAACACTCCTGGAGGTAGACTTTGCCACGATTTCTTACCAGCTCTCTTGTTAAATGCTTCTCTCTCTCCCCCCACCTTTTTTTTAACTCTACATAGACCTAATTTCTGATTTAAGATGAATGTTGCACTTCCCCTGGTAAATGATGACTATATTTTTTTAAAATGACATTAGATTATACATATTACCAGAAACCACAAGATGAAAATCCAACTACCAGTTCATTCTTTAAAAAAAAAAAATAGGGTTTTTTTAAAAAGCTTTTGGTCTTTCTGTTTTAGTTCATACTGAATGCAGGGGGATATAAACGCAGCTGCGTTTCAACAAGCAGTGAATAACGACATGGCAAGATAACATAATGAAGATAAATACTTCTGCCCTGTTCTGCATTGGGAAGTGGGGTGTAGACCTGAATGTTATATAACTTGAATCCAAGAGTCTCTTTAAAATGCATTTTATTACAAAAATAGTGGGATCTCTCTCTCTCTCTCTCTCTCTCTCTCTCTCTCTCTCTGTGTGTGTGTGTGTGTGTGTGTGTGTGTTTAAAAGACTATTTGCAAAGCTAAGCCAAGAAAAATGGAAGTTTAACCTTTCTGGTTTTTACTGGTGGAATGTGATGATAGTTGATACCCATCATTATTATAAATGTTTCTCCCTCGAGCCTTCTTTATTTACAGGGGGATTTTCAGTAAGCTTTCCATAAAAAGATTGCACATCCTTTTTTTCCTTTTAATAAGCTTAAAGAAATAGAGACCTCAGCTGCTTTCCCCTACCTTAATAACTGCTTGCAGAAACCACTTAGAAACCCGAACGCTCCGTGATGAGGAGGGTCTGAGCACCATTTCTGTTCAGATGCTCCTATATTTCAAAATCACGCCAGAGTGGCTTGGCTGGCAGCTGCATCTTACTCCTGAGAATCTTGAGATGTTATCTGGGTCTAGCCAGTCAAAGGATTTTGCCATTTTTAGAAGATGTGATCCTCCGAGGGAGGAAAGACTGGCTTGTCATAGGATGCAATTTTCCTCAACTACGTACCTTGCATTCAGCGTGCTTTGTTTTGTGATAGACATTGGAATAAGTGGTTGGTTTGCAAGTATGAGCTCAGTGGGTTGTGGGGGATACACCCCTTCGAGAATGGTCACATGGAGGCGACAAGCGCGGGGGCCGCAGACTGAAAGTTACAAACCTAGGTTCTAACCAGTACACCATACTGGGTATCATTTATAATAATTGCATTTTTAAAAGTAACTCTTTCCTGTCTGTTTCTTAAAAGTAACTGCCATTACTCTTAGTTACATGGAAAAATCTGAATGCAACTAGCTCCAGCATGTTGTTGCAACCATTCTCTCCACACACACTCACTGTTCTCTTGACACCCACCACAAAGAGAGAAGAAGCGGCACCATGCAAAGCTGGCCGCCTGTAACCAGGTAGTTTTCTTTTTAAAAATCATTGAGTAGAATTACAACAGGAAAAAAAAAAGAGATGGAGCTCTCTCTTGTTAACTTGCTGTTATCAAAGAATGTACTCATTGCCTTCCTTACTGGAAGGAGGAATGAAAATAAAAGCAACTAGTTAAGCTCTTCCCTGATTTTGATTTGCAACTTTAATGTTGGATTCCATGCTTTCCTGCCTTGAAAGGGGACGGGTCTGAATCCTGTGGGCAGGTGCCCAAGGGCAGAAATAAAATCGCACAATTGGATTTTATATCCATTTATTGATTGATTTAAATAAAACTTGCCCTTGTGGGGCAATAAAAAAGCCAGATGCTAAACAGGCAGCCGGAAAAACCCCAATGACCATATAGGCTGTTCTGGGTCAAGGGAAAAAAATGCTTAGAATTCTCTGTCTTTTCTTTGTAAATGAATTTGTTCTGTGGTTCAAGCACACACACACAAAAAAGGAGAAATGCAAAGCTTCAAAAGAATTCATCCTACGTTATTTTTGGATCCTCTTCGTGCATTCAGCTCCCCCAACGTATGTGGCGAGTTCTCAACGGCTGGCGTATTGCTGTCAATACAATTTCACCTTTTAAAAAACATTCCTGAGCTTGGTCAGAAGTCTGTCCGTTCAGGCATCGGAATCGGCTGCTTCCCGAGAGGAAGCCAGGAGAGAATATTGTTCCTGGCTTAAGGAAACAATCGTTTTAGAGACTGTCTTATTATTTATTTGCTAATTAGTGACCGTTGCGACTGTTGCAGGCCTCTCCCCACAGCACACAGCCTGCCACAAATAAATATAAAAACAAGAAGGGGAAAACAGAAGAAACAAGAATAGAAAGAAACATAAAAATGTTGCCCCACCTCTTTCTTGATGTCTCCCCCCCTCTTCCTTCTGCAACTAATTCGTATCCATTGTGGGTTCTTATTTGCAATACAGTGGACCCTCTACTTACGGAATTAATCCGTATTGGAACGGTGGCTGCAAGTCGAAAAGTCTGTAGGTCGAATCTCCATTGACCTACAATGCATTGAAAACTGATTAATCCCATAACTGGCAGTTTTTATTCTATTTTTGTTCCATTTTGGATTTTTTCTGGTCTGTAAGTCGATTCTCCGGCTGCAAGTCGAATCTAAATTTTGCGGCCAGAGAAGTCTGTAACTCAAAAAGTCTGTAAGTCGAGGGTCCACTGTATTCTCCAAGACGTCTTTCATCCCAATGTATCTTGGTGCCCATCCAGAATCAGAGAGAAAGGGACAGGATGGGAGTGGAATCAGGCTTTTGAAGCAGAGCAGAAAGAGAGAAAGCCACCAGGACTCTTAGTGTGTCTTACCCTTCTTTGAGAGATGGGGTGCTCAGCCTAGCAGAGTTCTCACGTAAAGCCAGCAAGGTCACCTGAAACGTCTGCCGTGGGGCCACCTGCTTTCTCCCTTCCTACCACTGCCGAGGGGAGTGCAGTGGCCCAGCTGCGTTCTGGGTTGGCCATGCCCGCCACCAGTAAGCTATCCTCATGGTGCAGGCCAGTCTAAGATGATGGGGATTGTATACCGAGAAGCCCCTTAGTTTGGAGGATTCTCTACCTGTGGTGTCACCACGTCTCTGTGTTTGGCCCAAACTCTTATGGCCGGTCTGTCCGGCTCTGCCATGAGGGAAGCAGGCCCCTCTCCTACAGCCACATACCTCCCACCTCTCTGTGTTGCAGGAAACAATCTGTCCTTCGCTGCTTCTGAGTGGAGTCGCTTCAAAGGCTTTTGCTGCCTGATTTCTGTCCATTCACAGGGACCCCTCACGCTGGGAAGAGTGATGGATGGGGCCCTTTTGTGAAGAGCGCTCCCATTTTATCTAAACCTGCAATTATCTGCATATTTTGAATGTCTCCCTGGCCGTTGTGAGATAACTGCAACTATATATATATATTTAATGGGCTAATTGAGTTTCGCTGCGATAGCTCCCTCCCTCTTTTGAAATATAATCAGAATTTTGGCCGCAAGCTTTTGAAAGAAGGGTCGTGGGTTTCGTTTGCAGCCGGTTGAGTCCGGGGTATTCTTTTCCAGCTGAGCAAATGTGAGGAAGAAGGGGTTTTTTTTGCCCTCTTCTCTTCTATGCAAACAAAAAAAGAACCACCACCACCACCCCAAAAAAAAAACTTGGAAGAGCATCCAAAAATATTTTTGGCCAATATTGGACAGCAAGGATGGGGCCAGCCAGGCCTCCAGTGGGAGGGAGTTCCAGAGTCTGGGTGGCCCTGTCACGTGGCAGGTGATGCAAAGATTTTTCTCTCCACCTGCGACCTTGCACAGCTGTTCCAAGTCAGGATAGAAAAGATTTTTCTCTCCACCTGCGACCTTGCGCAGCTGTTCCAAGTCAGGGTAGAGAGTAGAGCAGTGGTCCCCAACCCTGAGCCTCCAGATGCTCTTGGACTACAACTCCCAGAAGCCTTCACCACCACCTCTGCTGGCCAGGATTTCTGGGAGTTGAAGTTCAAGAACATCTGGAGGCCCAAAGTTGGGGACCCCTGGAGTAGAGAGCCAGGCTGATTTGAGACCCATGATATTCCTTGCAGCCTCTGTATCATATGCCCTTCATGACTGTATGAGGAGCTTCGTAGTGTGGAAGTATTGCTTGGACCACCTCCTTCTGCTAATGCAGATGCTGACTGCAATTTCCCATTTTCCAGGGTGATGGAGAAACCCCGACAACCGCTCTTGTCACTGATCTGGAGAAATAAAAGGAAGATGTTTTTATAGTTCTGCTGCGCTCCTCGGATTTTTTTAATGCTGTGGTTTAATTGCAGGTTTATCCCTGGGCCCTGGTCTCCTTGCAGTACATCTTGTGGCCGCGGGATTCAGGTGCGTGAAGTGAAGTGCCGTATTTATCTCGCATTTACTCAGACTGAGGTGGAGCTTCCAGAAGAGGAGTGCGAGGAACCCAAACCGGCGTCCGAACGCGGTTGTCACCTGCAGTCCTGTGATGGCGATCCTGACCCTTTCCTCCCAGATTATTCACACCCTGAAGAGGCAGAAGATGGTGTCTATGACTGGGAATACATCGGATTCACCCCCTGCTCCGCTACTTGTGTTGGAGGTAACTTTTTTTCCCCTTTTAAGCTGATAAAGTTCTTCCCCCCCCCAAACATAGCAAACAGCCATGAAAGATACGAGTCATTAAATAAAAAACAATGTAATTCATTTTCAGTTAAAATTCGTGTTTGGGGAAGTTTTTTTTCGATTATTTTGGGGTGTGTGTGTCCACACTGGCTGGAGATTCTAGAACGTATGACCTGAGAATGTAACTTTCCCAAATTCCTGTGCAAGCAGTGCCTTTTCAGAAATTTGAAAGCGGTATAACTGAACTATTTAGTGGCATTTGGGAAATCGGTTCCAAACCTTCTTGCGGAAAAACGTGGAAATACGGAACGCGATACATTGCGTGTTCTCTGGCTCCCTCTAGTGTCCAGTCCTGGTAAATACACCCTGGAAACACATCTAAATGGGTATTTCTGAGGTTTTTCATTTAGTATTTTCAGCCAGCGGATAAGCAAATCAGCAGATACTGAACCCCGCGGTTAGAGGGTCCTACTCTATATTCATTTTGCAGAGACCATAATTCTTTATTAGAGACTTTATCTGCAAAAAAAGCCACATTTAATTCCTGCCATTTCCAGCTGAAAAGATCAGGTAGCCGGTGGCTGGAAATGCCCCCTCTTAAACCAAGGAGAACCGCTGCCCTTTGGAGAATATGGCATTGAAACATGGCCTGACGTATTTGTATTATATTTGGTTACAAGGAACACACGTGCGCCTATGCCTGGATGCTTATATACACAAGGAACATGCAGTACTGTGTTGAAAGCGAGGCTGACTCCTGTAACGGGGTCGAAATACAGAGCCGCATCAACAAAACCTGCCTGCTTCTCCTTCTCTCAGATATATTTCATATAAATGACATTTCTCAGGCTGTTGAGCTCATGAATAAGGACATCATTCATTTGAAATTACTACTTGGGGGCAGGCACTTAATAAATTTCTCAAATTGCTGGCTAGTCCTTGCGGTTGAAGGGCAGGTAGGTCCTCTTGACCATGATTAAATTCCAGGTTGCTAAGAAATGTCCCCCTTTTCTTGACAGTGTCTGTTTTCTTTACCTTTTTTTTAATTAATAAAGCCCATCGGGCAAATGTCACATTGATGGACGGTAATGGCTTACTGGACAGCACCCATTTCTATTAAAATGTAATAAATTAACTGTTTTCATTTGTTAACGCTTGTGCTGTTATAAATTAGGAGACACCAAATCATTGCATGTGGCTTCTGTGGGGTGTTAGGATGATGCCTCGTCTTGAGACCTTGGGAAGATTTCTGTTCAAGTTGAGATGAACCATCTGGAGCAACGTGTGGCCTGACTGTGGGGCCACCGTTAAAACCGCATTGGCTTCTATAGGAAAACGTTTAAGTTTAAGAACTGAATCTGTGCCCGGATTGCAGTTCGGTCTTCCCAAGGCTCCGATCTTCTCCCTGTCTTGTAGGAAATGACACAGCCTTTTGGATATCATTTCTGTGCCCCATCATCCCTCAAAACCGTTTCCCATGTCATCTGTGCCCTGTTGAAGTTGATGGTTAGCCTGACGTTGCCAGCTATTTCATCGGCTGTGAGCGTTCTCATTTCTTCAGGATAGACTGTCAGAGCTGTTGGGTGTTCCAAGTCAAAGAGCAGAGCTGAGCCGTGGCTCTATTCATTTATTTATTTCAAATATCCTTACGCTGCCTTTCTCCCCCCCTCCCCCCAAAAAAGGACCCAAGATGGCTTACATCATTAAAAACATGGCATTACAAGCTAAAAACAGGAAATTATCCAAATATTGAAGAATTAATAATATTATATGAAAAATACTTGGTAAAAAGCATTATGAAAACAGATCTAGAAGCACCAAAATATAAACCATCCTGTTTATTGTCAGCTAGACATTCAGTCACTTGGGACAGAGAGTAAACCATCCTGTTTATTGTCAGCTAGACAGTCAGTCATTTGGGACAATGAGAGAGAGAGAGAGAGAGAACTCAGGGCTGGTTGTTTCAAAACGTGAGATTGAGAGAGAGAGAGAGAGAGAACTCAGGCTGGTTGTTTCAAAACTTTGGAAGGAGAAAGCAGGAGCAGAGAAGTCCACAATTCATCCTTGTTAGATGTGTTATAATCATGGGAGCTGTTGTTTCTTAAGCGCCCAAATAAACACTAAAAGGACAGAGATCTCCTAAGACAGTGGTTTGAAGTCCACTCAAGAATCCTTCTAATCCAGTGCTAAACTGTATACAGTTTATTAAGTGGAAATACCTGGGGCTCAAATCCAGTAGACATGGGATGTGTCCTGTTCTCCTGTCCTTTACACATCCTGAGCAACATTGTTGGCTAAGAGTTAGATGGATTTTGGAGGAGGTTGTTGTGGTGCTGAGGGCAAGGTATCAAATGTGGTCAATGAAGTAACTAATAACATGGATTGGGTTGTTCTTTGTATACCATGGTATAATAATGTCCAGTTACGATATAATGCAATTTGAAATGACTGGGGATGAATGGAAATCGTTGAGCTGTCATTACAAAAATCGTTTGTCCCTCCTGTCTAAGAAAGAGAAATTCTTGGCCTTACTCTGACTGATTACCTACAAGTCATAAAACATGTACTGCTAAGTTTTGGGGGTAAGCAGGGGAAAGAGAGATTTTTCCAGTCCTATTTCCACAGAGTCAGCTAAAATTGAAAACTGGCCTTTTTAGTGACCAACTGAGTGTTGAGGAAAACCCTTTGTGATCCGCGCAGAGGAAAGATGTTCCGGTCAATAAGTGCCTAATTAAAAAAAAAAAATCAAATAAAACCTCAGATTTTAGTGTATGCGACACAAATCAAAAGGCTTAGGATTTTTTTTTAAAAAAATTAAGAAATGCATTGGAAGTACAAAGGTTCTTGCAACCTTGCAAATCTTGCAACCAAAAGAGAAATATTAAGCTGTCTTAAAATCAGATTTGTAGCCTCTCCGAGGCCGCTGGGGGGGGGGAATGCATTTAGAAGGAAGGAAGCAGCTTCTCTGAACTGTGACCGCTTTCGGTCTTGCATAACACGTTGGGTTTATTTTTTTCACCTCCTCCTTGCAATGGCAATGAAGCCCCCCCCCCTACCCCCGTAAGAGAATGAACTTCACTGTGCTCGGACAGTGGTAATGACTTCTCGTTTTATTGCGCTGAACGTGCGTGAGGGTTGTGAGGCAACTTTACAACCCGTGGAAGGAATTACGCCCTTCCTGAGTGAAAAAAGGTTCTGAATTTTACAGTCAAGACTGCGCATAGCTGAGGGACAGGACAGGGATATCGCTGACAGATGCGTCTCTCTGCCAACCTCTGCTTTACACAAGTGGTGGCATCTCAATTTGAGGGCCGGAGACGCTCCCCGAGTTTAGACTCCTCACTTGCCTAACCCAGTATTGTTCTCTCTGACTGGCAGAGGCAGACTTTGCAAATCTTTGTTTACCCTCATCTAATTCAATCCTGTTCAGTTGGCTAGGTAGCTCAGTGAGTTAAGTGTCTGGCTTCAGCACCTGAAGTTGGGAGTTTGATTCCTCCAAGGAGCCTCCTGGGAGAAAAGCCAGCCTGGGTGGCCTTGGGCCGGCTGCACCGTCGTCCCAGGGCAACCCCAGAAGTAGGGAATGAGGAACCCCTTCTCAAGTTCTTAATATTCTCTACCTGGGAAACCCTGGAAAGGGCGCCCGTCGGTCAGAACTGACTTGATGGCACATCATCATCATCATCATCATCATCATCATCATCATCATCATCATCATCATCATCATCATCATCATCATCATCATCATCATTATTATTATTATTATTAAATCAAGAGATAAGACTCAGAAGCAGTTGCTTGGTTTTAGTCAGCGAGCTGTCTTAACTATATAATAAAGACAGACTTATAAGCATAAAAATACACTGCTATTGTATTATGTGTTCAGTTTTGAAACAAATCCAATTTTACACCCACACAATCTGTGTGTAAAATGGAATTCCATGTATGGGTTGGCACTTGAAGGAATTTTTTTTAGCCCGGGCATGTGTGGGGGACATTTTATTTTGTGTATATTTTGAGGTCGATAAGCTGTCCATGGTAACAGCTGTACTTTGTGCAGACCTGCATTTCCAGGTTCATGCGTTAACTTAGACCGCTTCTGTCTTACATCCTAGGGACCCAGGAAGCCATTGTGGTGTGCCTGCATGAGCAGACAAAGCAGATTGTGAATGACAGCCTGTGTGACAGCTCCAAGAGACCTCCGGCCATGAGCCGCACGTGCAGCACAAGGCATTGCCCCCTGAGGTAGGGCTCTGCCTGTCTAGCCTCTCTTTGACAGACAGCTGTTTGACTGGGGTTAGCCAGCGGCCGTCATGTCGTGGCAGGAGAAGGCCGGGCCCCGTGAAGAAAACGTCAGGAGCAGTTTTCTCTCCCCAGTGAAAACAGCTGTGATGATTTCTACGAATGTTTTGTCTCTTCGTATGTTTTTTCCTGACATCCTTCCTCTGCATCCTGGCATTCTAGCCCTCCCCAAAACATTCAATCTCCTTTAGCGACTTTCTCCCCTTGGTGGTAACGCTCTCCTGGCCTTCCAAGCATCTCACCGGACATCTCTCCATGGCTCCTTGGCATTCCACCTCCCTTTCTTGGCCCTTTGCTCTCCTGGCATACCAGCACTCCGCTCCTCTCTTCCAAAATTCATCCCATATCTCTGGTCTTCTGCCCCTCACTTCTGACCTTCCACCCCTTGACCAAGATCTCCACCCAAGTATCCTAGCCTTTGGCCTGTCTTGTCCGATGTTCTGGCCTGCTCCTCTGGCATTTTTATTTTATTTCTTTAATTTTATATACTGCTGTGTACAACACAGTGAAATAAAATAACCCATAAGCAAGCATCAAAAACAATGTAAGATCAATCATGTGAAAAAATCTTGCCCGCTCTCCTGATAAACCAGCTTATACCCATGGCATTTTAGCTCCCCTTCCAATGTTCCTTCTGGCTACTGGTGTATTCCACCTTTCTAACACAGCCAAGAACGACAAACCACTTAGGAAATTTAATTCTATGAGGCAAAGTCCTGGGACATCTGGAACACGGGACTTGGTGATGGTCAGGAGAGTGGGAAAGTGGGGAAGAAGGGAAGAGGATTCTGGTTCTCTCTCCCCATCCTGTCACCACCCAACGCGGCCGTTCTGTACCCAGAACATGAGGAACGGCACTGAATGAAATGCTGACAAATATTCACATTTTAGTATCTAAATTACCTGCTGCATGTTGGAGTCTGAAATGCATATGCAAAACCCAGAGTCCTTTTCTTCTGGCTTGCAATGTGCAAGGTGTCCCTCCGAGAAGCGTGGTTGAGCTCTTGCCATTCGAAGTGCACGTGGGGTGGAGCGGGGAAGGGAGAGTGCCATGTGAGAGTGGTCTACTCGACCACATGGGCGGGATATAAATCAAATGAATGAATGAATGAATGAATGAATGAATGAATGAATGAATGAATGAATGAATGAATGAATGAATGAATTTCTGGACTTTGTTCTTCTTGAGATTGTTCATCGAAGTGGCCCTGCCTGGTTGATCAGGCTTAACGTGGCTTGCCTAGAGCACTCTTTTGGTGATCTCTTGGAACAGGTGGCACGTGGGGTCCTGGACACCGTGTTCTGCCACTTGCGGCGTCGGCATCCAGACAAGAGAGGTGCATTGCCAGCATCCTGGAGGATCCATCGCTGGACCTGAACATTGCAAAGCCAAGGAGCCTCATGCTTTGCAAGCTTGCAACCAGATTGATTGTCCACCAGTTTGGCATGTGGAGGAATGGCAGCAGGTACCACGGAACCCTTTTATTTTAATAGAGTGGAGCATTCATACGGTGTTGAATCCTGCTCACCCTCCAAAGCGGTACAGCTTCATCTTGTGTATTCAAGTGACTTCGAATATTCTGGAGATCAAGGACTTAAATGCAAATACTACTCCCCACTAAAGTAAACCCATTGAATCTGTGAGATTTACACACCTGTTGACTTACCATCCAAGCATACATTCAATGGGTTTACTCTAGATGGGAATAAGAGTTGCAGTTATATCATAACAACCAACACGTAATAATGGGTTCAAGCTACAGGAAGCCAGATTTAGGCCGAACGTCAGGAAAAACCTCTTATTTATTTTATTTATTTAACTTATATGCCACCCATAGTACCCAACGTTCTCTGAGCAGCTTACAACAATTAAAATACAATTAAAAAAACCTTTTAAACTCTTAACTGTTAGAGCAGCACGACAATGGGACCGATTACTTTGCGAGGAGTGCTGGAGGCATTCAAGAGAAAATTGGACCACCCTCTGTCGGATCTGCTTTGATTTGGATTCCTGCCTTGAGCAGGGGGTTGGATTCAATGGTCTTAACGTCCCTTCCGACTCCATTATTCTATCATTTTATATGCTTTTCTGCAAATCTAGCTGTTGCCCAAATACTTTGAAGGAAAAGTTGATAAACCTGTGTATTTGAAAAATTTAGTACAATACATATTGTATAGCTTTTGAAGAAGTGTCTCCCTGGGCCTCATTTTTAATAGAATCCTCTAGAGTTTGTTACCTCTAATGATATCACCCGGATCACATAATTTGCTGGTGAAATGAGGGTACAGCCAAGTTAAATTTGGGAAATGACATATTGATAGCTACCACGGGTGGTTTTTTTTAATGTAACAAGTAATATTTACTTGTTACTATTATTTACTTGTAACAAGTAAATGTTACAAGTAAATGTTACAAGTAGATAACAGTTGCTGTTTATTTGTAACATTTGGTATTTACTTGTAACGAGTAACATGCATTTATTTGCTAATATTATTTATTTGTAACAAGTAAATGTTACAAGTAAATGGTTCCAAGGCCTGTTCTCTTTCTCCTCCTCCTTTAGTGCTCCCACACGTGTGGCGGAGGCACCCAGATCCGTAAAGTAACTTGCCAGCAGTTGTTGATGGACGGGAGTTTCCTGAAACTTGCTGAGGAGAGGTGCCACGAGCCACGGCTGTCCACGCAGAAGCCTTGCGCGAAAGCGGACTGCCCACCACAGCTGGTTGTCGGGGAATGGTCCAGAGTGAGTACAGCCAAGTGAACATGTTCTCCCCCTCTCCAGAGGTTAGATTCTCCATCGGAACCGTTCGGATGAACCCCGTTTTAATGAACAAGGAAGGGGTTAAGGGAGAGCAGCCCTCTGAAGATGGAATAGGGAGCTGCCCACCTTTACTGGAAGCCAGCAGACGTGGAACAGGAGCCCAGCCTCCTGTTTGTGTGTGACCTCTCTCTCTCTCTCTCTCTTTTTCCTAGTGTTCTGTAACCTGTGGCGTTGGGACTCAGGGAAGGGAACTCACCTGCCAAAAGGTGACTGCCAAGAGCCAGCCTGTCGCATTAAACGCATCCGTCTGCAGCAACCTCCCTGCGCCACCTCTCGTAAGATCTTGTCACATGCGTGCCTGCAATAGTAAGTGACGCTTTTGTAGCTCGCCAAAGAAGAAAAGGGCCCGGATTAATGGTTAATTACAAAGGCCAAGCCTGGATTTAACATTGCAAAGTCTGTGTCCTTTGTGTTTGAAAAACGAAACACGGGGATAGGTCTAGACCAAGGTGTCACCCAGCGGGTGAGCCAAGCGGAAATCGACGGCCTGCATTTATCTTAACCATATTCGTATGACGTCTCTTGACATGGCGTAATTTGATCTGCCAATTTCATTGCTTTAAATAATAAATTCGGTTTCTTTGAATGAAGGAGAAGGTGGGGTGCAGTGCAACATACAGAGGCCCTGTCGCTGAGATGTGAGGATTGTATTCGAGCACTGATTTCCTTGAAATGGGTCAGTCCTAGCCAGCGTCGGGTTGCATTCATTTTGGTTTGGGGAGGGGAGGGAGGAAATCAACATTCTTGAGAGTCTCAGGATGCTGGGTTCGAGTTGGAGTCATTAAGCAGGAGAGGCTGAGATACATCAGGAGATTGCAGGTTAGGTCAAATCAGTTCGCCCTGGCATGGTCACAGACAGTGCTGGCAAGGGAAAAATCAGGACCCTGGATAGCTCCAACATGCTCTGGCACCTGAGCTGCGGAAGGACGTTGTTTCCGTAAGGGCCTGGTGTTACCTGAAGCTTTTAAAAAGCAGCTCCTGCCTCCTTTCCAGGGGGTTCACTTATCTCTCACCCTGGAAGAGAAGTCTGCAGGCTTACAAGCTTGTTCTAAGGACGACTAAGAGTCAGGACACTATGTTAAAGCAAGTGTGTGTGTGTTTTCCCTTCATACAACATTATTCTTCCAGGCTCACAGATCTTCCAGGTCTCCATGTCTGAGACATCAGACATGCAAATAAGTCCTTACTATCTCCCAAATGGCCAGCTGCAAAAGAAAAAAAAAGTCTGTTTATTCTAACGGCAAATTGCCGTTAGAATAAACAGGCATTATTTTCCTCTGAAGTGTGCACTGCTTCTAAATATGGAAACCGCCTTTTGTCTATTGGGAACCTAATGTAATGCGTGTACAATGCTTGATTGGCTGTGCCGTAAACATGCGCTGGATGTCCCGAGCGAGACCTGGATCATCCAGGTTCTTCAAAGGCAGAAGACAGGAACAGGATGTATTACATTGATGGTTCGATAACTAGTTACAAATGATGCAGTACTTGTAGTGGAAGTGTAACTGTAAGAATTTTGTAAGTTATTTTGACAAAATTTTTAAAATCTGGCAAGGGAAATACTGTTTGCTTCCCCACTTTTTTTGAGGGAGCAGTATCAGAATTAGCCACTAGAGAGAACCAGACTTTCCGTACTCAGTATCAGAATTAGCCACTAGAGAGAACCGGAGAGTCTTTCCATACGTTTTTCCAAACTGCAGTGCAAACTCTTAATAGTGTACAAAAGGACAAATTTTACAAACAAAGCAGTAATAAGAATAATGACCATTTCGCTGCCTCACAATGGCCACGATCCTGTTTGTTATGCCCACTAGCGTCCTGTGGTTCGTGGAAATCCTGTTGGTGAGTAGCGACGGCAAGTTAAGAAGATAGCATAGGTATTTTCTGTTGCATGTTGAGCCATGCAGAACAATTTTTTCCCCTGAGGTACTTATCAGTTGAGGGCCTGGTTCAAAGCTTGCAACTGCAGTTTTGATACCAGATTATTAGATCTGACTTCCATCGCAAAGAGAGAAACAGGTTGATCAGAAGGGCCTGGACTGGAGGTCAGCACGCAAGCAAACCCTTGAACCTAATAGCCTTCTCTGGCTGCTTCCCTGCATGCCTCTGCTTTGCGTTCGAAGCAACACACCAAACAAAATAGAAGCTATGGCAGTTGCTGGTTCCTGCATAATATGAAACTTCTTTTCTTGGACTTGATCGCCGGTGAACCTGCCAAGATCCTGGGTTACAAACGCCCCTTTAAGTAAAGCTCCGTGGACCTAAAGGAATGTCCTTGGCAAAGCATTTAATAAAATATTTTTTTGAGCTGCATATCTATCTGAATTTAATTAATTGTGGATATTTGTGCAGCCATGTGTCCAGTCTGCAAATTATGTGGTGGAGAGTGATGTTAAAGAACCATTGTCAGCTTTTGCTATTGTAAGAAGGAACCTAATGTGGAGAAGCAGGAAAAAGGGGGGTGGTAGGGCTTCAGGAATATGTTTTGTGAGATGATGGAAGAGGAGGGGGGAAAATTCAAGTTTTGTAAAGGAACAGAGGCCTAAAATCATCTTACTTCAGATTCTTGAGGATTTATCGTGCAATGCCGTTAGCAGAATTATCTAGTAAAATTATTTTTGGACTGTGAATGGTGCAAATACATGATTAAATGCTCCCCTATTTTTTCTAACTCTTTGTACATAAAGAACGCTAATAAAGCAAAGTGTGCTGCTTATATACAGCAGCATTTAAGTGCTCCGTAGCACTTTCCTCCAGGGAAGCTTAGATTAAAGTCATTCTAGATCATTTCCCTGCAAAATAGCTTGCTTGTTTGCAGCGATATATATATGAAATCTGCAAGAGCTTCCCGTCTGGTTTGGAAGAAAGCCCGACATGAGCCATATAACCCCTGCCCTGGTTGATCGGTCTTGTGCTGCATTCGTTCACACCCCTCCGGTTTATCAGCTGCTTTTCTCCTGGTGAGCCTTCAAAGAGGCTCTCCCAACGTTGCAGAGAGGTGGGAAACACTAGCAACTAAATTGAGAGTAAGAATTGGGGGGAAAAAACGGTAGAAACATGTATGATGTTTAGAAATAAATATCATGGAGATCCAAGATGACTCAGTGGTAGAGGAGACGCCTTCCCTTCTTGTTTGTGGAATGCCTACATAGCTCAGGGCGTTCAGGCCTCCAGTTGTGGAGTCAGCAGCTGGGAGTTCAGTTCCCCACCATGCCTCCGTGGCAGGTTTGAGCTTGATAATCTACTATGCCCCTTCCAGCTCTGCAATTCTGGGATGGTGATGATGATGATGGTGCAACAGGAGATCTTCCATTCTAACCCCTGTTTTCTCCAGTTCATAGAAGTTAGACAAGTCCTGCATCTCAGGGCTGAGGGGTTGGCTGCCAGTCAGAGCAGGCAATGCCAGATTAGATGGAACCACCGTGTGACTTCCTATAAAGGAGCTTTCTCTGTTCCTAAAGAAGTTTGTCGCACAGCCTCGGTGCTCCTCTTGACAAGGCCCTGCCTGAAATCAACTAACGTGCCTTAGTAAGCCTTGCCATTGCCCCAAGTTGTGATACTTTGGAATTGTCATGCCTGCCTTTCAGCAATGCCCAAATAAATGAGTTGTGGGTTGTTGTGCTTCTCTCCCTCCCCCCCCTCCCCGTCTCGGATATGCCACCAGCAGACCAACAGCCCCCGTCTCTAGCTTTGCCTTGCCAGTGAGAAATAATCCAGACATTCTTTAAAATAACTGAAATAAAGGCAAGCCAGGCCAATTTGATGCTTTTCCATGTATTCATAACCATGCATGGCGTTGGATTCTTGTTGGAATAGCTTAGTGTAAACACCGGGCTGCTCAAAAGTATTTTAATTTTAAAGTCACACTTAACGCTGCGTGTATTGTGGGGTTTGGGGAATGAAAAAGCTTAAATACCGGAGTGTTTCCATTTAAGCATCTATTTTGAACTGCATTTGGTATTGAAACAAAGCACATTTTTAAAAAAATTAATAAAGCCAGTCCTTGAGGCCTTTTATTCATCGTGCAGCCATGAAACAGCTGATCAGTCTTCATTAAGGAGCTGAGTGTTTATCGGGCTCCGACGTCCCTCCTGGGCCAAAGAAACAGAAAAACACCACAGCGAACACAGCTTTCCCTCTGTGACTGTCTGCCTGAGTGGGATTCTTAGATGGATGGTTGTGCGTTTATTGTGTTGAATGCATTTTGATCTTTCTTCTGTTTACCATCGTTTACTGGTGTATTGGTTTTATCCTTTTTAGTTTCGCTTAGCGATGGTTTCACATAGCGATTTTCTTGGAACGAATTAACATCGCTAAGCGAGGCACCACTGTATTTGTTTGCTTACTCTTTTTCACTCTCGAATTGGCCTCCTCAGCCACACTAGACGCTGTTCCAAGTCCTCCATACAGAGCACGTTACCATAGTCTTTCGAGACTGAAGGATGCCTAACTAACTACAGTAACTCTTTTTAGCTTTAAATACTGTCTTAACAATGACGTACGCTGGCTTGGGTCCTTCTTAAGGAGGAAGGTAAAAATATTCTAAGTCAATCAATCAGTCAACGAACAAACAAACAATAGTTAATCAAGTCTAACCATTGCACCCAATTCTGATGCCCTGTAATGACAGATGCTTCTCTTTCATCTGTGTTGGATTGCTATCTTCTTGGGCAGGGATTCCCAGCCTTGGATCTCCAGATGTTCTTGGCCTACCAGAAATCATGGCCAGCACAGATAGTGGTTAAAGCTTTTGGGAGTTTTAGTCTGAGAACGCTTGGGCTACCCAAAGTTGGGGAGCACTGTTTTAGTGGAAAGGCAGCATATAAATTTAATAAGACTGTTTTAATTGATTAGTTGGATTCCCACTAATCGGCAGGAATATGTGTGGGCAAGTCTCCTTTAAAACATGGTGTAGATAAGGATACACAAGTCTGTGGAGAGTTCTGGTGATGCATTCTTGTTGCTGGTGGTCCACATGACCTTAGTGGCTTTTACTGGCTGCATTGGGCATACCCGTGGTGTCTGGTCTTCGATACTTTGGCCCCAGTGATCCAGGTTTTGGTAAGCTTATGGTTTTACTGTTGCAAAACATTCTTTGTAAGGATGCCCTTAAGCATGGCCAACAGTAGGGCTAGGGAGATACAGTTAACACGCTGTTGAAAGCAGAACTCTTTTAAGAAGGAAAAGACTGTTTGTTGGACTCTTGTGAGTAAAACTTGAGCTCCTCAATTCTGGAACTCAAGTGGGTTGCAAGGAAGCTGATTGGTGGTCAGTCCCCAGTTGCCATTGTAGGCGGAGGTGTTCTTGGGTGCAGGAACGAACCGAGCGTTCACATGTGCAAGGAGGTCCTGTGGGCACCTCTTTGCACAAGCATGGAAAATGGTTGGTTTAAAAAATATATTATTTGCACTTTTAAAAAAATATTATTTGTTTACACACACACACACACACACACACACACACACACACACACACACACACACACATTTTTAGATGTTAGCCCTTTACAAATACCCTTAAAGGGAAATAAAATCATTATTGTCCAGTCAGACATTGGTTCTTCAGAGCATCAGACTAGGACCCGGGAGAACTGGGTTCAGATCTCTGTTTGGCCTGAGTGGGAGTTTGTTGGGAAGCCCCTCCTGGAACATCTCACATACTGTAGTTGAAAAACATGGTTAGGGTTGCCAAATAGAA